TTTTTTAATGCGAATCTGAAGTAAAAAATTAGCGGACTCCTATTTTTCAAAAATTAAAGCTACTTGAATTTCGGGAATTACTGTTGTGCAATTACGAAAAGATATGCTGCGCGAGATGACTGTAGCAGTCAGCACATTAGCATCTACATTAACTCATTGGTGATCTTTTTTTTTTTAATAAAATAGCATTAACCCATACTTAAAAAACAAGGATGATTGTTTTTTTTTCTTAAAAAACCTGGTAAATATAGTAGATCAAATTTTAACTGATAGAAAATGTAAAAAAATGCGTTCAGTATTGTAAGCTAACGTAATGAAAAAACTTAAAACTGCTTTCTTTCACAATTAATCATTTATAACTTAAATGTTTTAAATTCAGCCATCGATATTACCTTGGTATATTAATATTATATGCATCATTGATCGTAATATGAGCCTAGCGATGTTAAAAATATATTAGTACTGTAATGTCGTTCAATTGACTATCATCTTTACAGAATTTAAAAATCATACAAACAAAGCTAACTGATTTACAATATTCTTGTTGCTAACAAAATAATAATATGTATGTCTTATGGTGCCTAAAAGTCAGTCTTTCTTATCAACTACAAGGTATACACGCTTAGCGCGTACTAAACATGTTACATCACTGGAAATCATCGTAAACTATTAGTGAACAAACTTACCCTATCCGTATTAAATGACTTCAGTCCGGCCGGGTACCCAAAGTATCTGTAAAGCACATTCACGTTATTCACACAACACTAACAAAATATTATGAGAGATTTTACACTCGGCACAACGCACTCGATTCGATAGCACTGGTCGAACAATAACCGCACAACCTTTGACGCTATATTACTCGGTTCAGCTAAGAGGACACCCTATCTAACATCATAAACGGAATAATTTTCCTAAATAACTTTCGATTTGATTTTCTATATTGAATTAATAATAATAAAAAAAAACTACAAATTGATACGCGGTTGGAGTGATAAAAATTGGGTGCGGCTTCCGTAAAGAACTCTTCATGGCGCGGACCGCCGTTCCCCCTTCCCCTTCACGACCACAACGAGCCATCTGCATCGCGAGCTAGCCGGTTGACGTCATCATTTGCCTTGGAATAAAAAAAAAATATTATAATATTAGTAAAAATATCATTTTCGTATTAAAAAAATATATTTCCTTAGCGTTTACAACAAATATGTGTCAACGAAGTAGACACTGAAACTAATATTCTCGTTATTGCACCGCAGCGTTATAAATATATTATATTGTTATTTAATTCAATGAAAAATAGGTATAGAATAATACATCTACAACGACACGGTGACGTCATTATTTGAGTCGCGCTTTTGGCGGGACATTTGAATACCGCGCAATGGTTCTCCGTGGCCACTTTTGAGTAATACCAATTATATAATATATTAAATATAGGTACATACATAGACCACACTCTATAGTTTTACGATAACAAAATTTTGGACGCAAACCTATATTGACTGTGTATTTGTTGCGTCCATTTTTTTATTTCATAATATGCTCGTGGACTACGTTATATTATGTACATAATTTAAGGGTACCTAATACAGACGACATATCGTCGTTGTCGCGAAAAATACCACCTATGTGCTAAAACCCAATTGTACAGGAGACACTAAAACGTGTAAAACGATTTACAGTAGGTAATACGTAGGAGGTTTTATTTTCATTGTTTTTCAATGGAGATAGCACGTTGAAGATTTTATCATATTATGATTTATTTATTATGTTTATTTTTTTCCGTATTCAGTGATACTAACCCTCAAAATCGTAAAATTGGCACATAGGAAGTTTTTTCGCGGCAACGGCGATGTACAGTAAATTTTCAAATGCTTAAGAGAACGTCAAACTTAACAATATATGAAGCAATGTAGTACCTACCTAATTTGGTATACAAATAATATGAAGTCGATAAGTGATAACAAAAGTGTAGACGTAATAATTATTATATACCTAGTGACTGAAAAATAATAATTATGTTTGGTTAGACACTCGGATTTTCAAAAAAAAAAAGTGTTTAAAAATTAAAACAAAATATAGTGCATAAATTAATATAGTCCTTATCAATCGTTTTAACTTTTACTAATTAGTAATTACCTTGTAAGTTCAACACAATTTTAGAACAAGAACCAATATACATATTTTATTTAAATATATATAAATAACAAGCTGTCCCGACCCGGCGTTGCCCGTGTATTAGAATAGACACACAATCAGCTGATCGGATCGCTGTATCCCTGTGGTATGAAAAACCATAGAGATGTATTAATAACTATTGACACTATTGATAATCATAATTAATTAAAAATTAAAAACATGTTCTATCGGATCAAATTGTGAATTTAAACCTTTCTCGAATCAACTTAATCGCGCACACAAAATTTCATAAATATCTGTCCAGCCGTTTAGAAGGAGTTTGCATACTTACACGCGGACAGAAGAAATCTATATATAAAGATATACAGCCAATATACATAAGTTATTTTGGATTTTTTCGCTGAATTTGACCTCAGAATATTGTCAACCACGTCTGAATATTTTCATAATCGCAATTTGTGAGGGGGGGGGCTTAGCCAAAGTTGATTCCGTTCCATAAATTAATATTTAACATATAAAATCACATTTTTTACTTTTTTTCAATAGCTATAACTTACTTTTGCGTTTTTATTTTCAAAATCGAATACGTCATTGTTTCCAAAATGTCGTTATCTTTCAATTTCATAATTGGTGTTATTGTTCTAAAACAACCTTGGACTTAAGTATTACGCATTCTGCGTAACTATGTTTAGACGAAAAAAATTTTTTAAATCGCTGTCAAGGATGCTGTGATAGTTCGAAAAATAAAATAACTATCAAAAAAGAGTCTTAATTACTGAACTATAATTATACATCACAGTGTAAGCATTAAATTAAGACTTTGCAAAAAATTGCCTATAACTAACTCCTCAATTAATAGGATGTTAAGCGTCCCCTAAAAGTGTTTAAGCAATCGACCTTTCTTTTAGCAAAATTGTACTCCTTGTTGTTTTTTACATCGCCTCAATTAGTTGTAATAAAACAGTTTTGTGATATTTTTAAAGTGTTCTATTCGATTGAATATTTTTCCAAAATTGATTTTACAGTTTTTGTTCCATTTTCTTTTTTTTAACACAAAATCATTTGAAAATTACATTTTTTAGTTTTGAAAGTTGCTTATGTACAACATTGGAGGTGCAAAAAAAATGTATTGACGTGTATATTTTTCTGATTTTGTTCAAAATAGAAGGTTAAATATTATATTGATGTTAACCTATTCGAATACTATTACATATATTTTATAGTTTGAACTCAATATTGATTCAATCGTGCAAAAATATTTTGTACTTTAAGTTTTATTCGGAAAAACCCCAAAAAATACATTTTTTGGTTAAATACTAATCTGGCCTCGGTATTCCTCTAGCACGTAAATTTCTTTTGTAATTCCACACAAAAAATAAAAAATATAACAAAATTAAACATTTTCTAGTTTTCTAATTTCTAAAAAAATTCTTAAGTTCTAAATGAATTCTAGACCAATTCTGAATTCAGTAATGTAAATAACACAAACAAAACTTTATTTTAAATACATTTTTTTAAATGATTTAAACGAATAGAATACACTTTTTCCCCACAACTGGTTTCCCGCAGTATTTTATACATAAACTTTTCATATTTTAACTATAATTAAACAGTACTTGTAATGAGAGAAAAATTGTAGTGGGAAAAAAATGTAGTTCTATAAAAATGGCTGCGATAGTGAGACAAAAAAAATAACTTTCGTCGAACGGGCCAACTGGGTGCATTGGGTTAAATAATATACAGAATGATGGTTTTATCGTGAACCACTCAATATCCAATAGGGTTTAATAAGAAATACATTTTGTTGGGAGGGGGGTAAAAACAAAAAATTGTGAAAAATTTAGATCACATTAAACAAAAACAATATAAAAAATTTAATTAAATTTCTTGTTACCCCTCTACGAGATAGTGGTTCATGATAAAATGATGAAAAGAATCCTTAGTTCAGTATTAATAAGTATTCGCTATAATTAAAGCTCTAAATTAAGATTTTTTCCTGTACACTATACTCCTTAATAATTCTTACCTACCTACCTACCTAATGAACAAATTGTGTGGCGTCCTCAAAATACATTTTGTGACATAACTCTCGACGTTAATAACACACAATTCAATTTATTAATTCATGTTGCATAATCGTAATGTTTTAACCATAAAAACATGACGTGTTCATATAACCAAACTACGTGCAATTTAATAGTTATAACATTATACATTATATAATAAAATAAATCAATAGGTTAAAGTTCGGTCTACCTGTAAACTAATACCTATCTTCTCTTACCCATTTTGTAACAAATAAAGCAATTACCAAACTACCTCGTATACACTCGTTCTTAATTAATCTAACTTAATTTGTATTAATTGCTGATTGTGTAGCGCTTAAGATCTTGTATGTCATGCGAAATAAATTAATAAATCTAACTTAGTCAGACAGTCTTCATATCCATTTAAAAAAACTCATACACTCATATCATCTACATTCTACTTACATTTCACTTTTACTTTACACGGTCATAAATACACAATTTTATCATACAACACGCATGTTTCCCACCTCATTCTAGTACACTATATTATTATTTTTTTTTGGAAACAGAAAATAAATTATTATACACTGTATGACGTGAGTTTTTGTTGATGGTCCGAGTTTATCCTAATAAAACAACCTGAGCTTTTTATTGAAACTTCAATAATGATACAAAACAAATACATATTCTATATATAGAATGTCATGTTATGTCTCTTATATATTAAGTTCAAATGAACTATACATTACATTTTGTTTCTATACTCTAAACTTGTTAACTTATCATTAAAAGAATGTTTAAGACTATTAAAATATGTTTAAGACGAAGAGGACGAATAGCCAAATGGGTAAGGCGGCCTGAGAAAAAGAGCCGCTATCTCCTACTCCAACAACGGGCTAATAAGCCGTCCTGGATAGTGTATCCGTTAGGAAACCTCCTCCTGGGAGGTGTGGTGGTGGCCTTTAATGGGTTTCTGTAAACCAAATTACAACTTCCAAGTAAATTATTAATTTTTCATTAAAGCTATTTAACACAATATAAGCTAGTACAGTGACCAGTGGGGCGGGGGCATAGTGGGGATGGAGAGGCCACAGATCTACAGGAATTATTATAACTGAAAGTGATAAAATCACTTTTAAATAAACGCTTCGATGTGAATCTGTGGGTAGTATGTATAAATCACACATAGCAACCTAAAAACTGACTACAGTCAAAGTGTAATTTTTCCCTATTTTTTAGTTTTTCCTTAATAAAAAAAATTTTTGAGGAAATTGTGTAAGTTATAGCCCTATTCTAGATCTACCTTTCATCTAATTTTTATACATAAACCCTTAAAACTTTGCATGAAAAAGAGAAAGAAAGAAAAAAATTCCACCCATTTAGGAGAAAGGGTGTACGATAATTGTTTAGGCTGTCAACGTTTGTCGGTAGTACTATATCTTAAGAATATTCTATATATAAATTTTTGGGTTTTTTTTTATTTTAAAGGGGAAAGGAAAAACTTTTAAATTTTTTTGTTTAATTGAGCACTATACAGGTACGATTTCTGATCTTAAAAGCTGCTACACGAAGAAATCGGATTAGTGGCTTAAAAGATATCGTTGGTACAGACTCAAAAATATAAAAATAAAAACACAATACCTTCTCAGCTATTGCATCGAAGCTAATACTTTAGAATTATATCCTAATATTGCTATTACCTTTTCAGAATTGATCAGGTATTTAAGTATTAAACACACTTAATTTATAGTAGTTATCTAGATATCTATCCTAACATGAATAGTCTTATCTTATAATTAATATCATCATATAGCTAAACGGGCCATGAAGGCCCAACGCTGCTATCCGGGACGGGTTGTCAGTCCGTCGCCGGAGAAAGGAATGGCCCGTACAAAGTTTTTATCACAACAATAATACAAAAATCAATGTTTTGTATTTACATTACAATTTTTATACACGTTATACAATTTAAAAAAAAAGGACTATAACTAAAATTAAAAGTAATTTTGATTATTATTTTGATTAGATGTCAAAATGTAGTATAAATAAAAATATATGAAACTCTACTTGGCATTGCATATTGGTACATAAAGAAAGTGCATTGTCGTGATTATTATTTTTGGGTGCATTCATTCGGAATTCAAAAATTCTGCTAGCTGGTCTTTTGGTTTCATTATTATAATGACAATCCATCCAAATAATGCGCCATAACACCGGCAACAGTTTAATGCACGCCATGTTTCTGAAATTTTTGCTTCCACTTTACTGTTTGACATAATAGCCGCATCGTAAGTCGTACATGCAAACGATGCTAAAGCTGTTAGCACGTTTAAAAATAAAACCTAAAACAAAAATAATAATAAGCATATCAATCCTTATTAGCACTTATTTTAGGACATATAGAGTGGCTTTTTTTGTCTTGAAAGTTAAAAAAACACACATACTTACTAATATATATTTTGGTTTGAAGCTCTCACATTTGTACAGGTCAAAAATATCCAAAACTGTACACAAACACACAGCTGACAGTAAGAAGAATGACATCAATATTAAAGGTGATCTTTGGGAAGTTTCACCCAAAAATAGTTGGGCTAACGCGAGTCCAGCTAAAATACCTTGACTGACAGTACCCAATGATGCAAATATTCTTTGAGCTTTAGCTGCAATTGGTCGTAGATTGTTGTAATTAGTTGAGTGAGGTGAATGGATATTTTCAAAAAGACTATGCTGTTCGGTTTTAACAAAACGGTTTTTGTCCTGTACGTAAATGACAATTTTATTGGCATCGTTAGTTATTACAGGATGATGTGTTGTGCTGGAAAAAGGACTAGATGAGGTACGGACATCTTCTTTAACTTCTTCTAAAATGGCAGCGACTGTATTATGACCTGTATCCATGGCTTTCAAATATCATAACATAAGCTAAAAAAATTAAATATACATTGTTAAATAAAGATAACAACCAAACTAAGTATAAGAAAATACATAGCTTTTAAAAAACGAAAGTTACAATTCATTAAATAATTACAATAGATATTAAATCTGTACCTAATTTAACTTTTTTTAAATAGATACGTCCTAAAATATTAAAATAAAAATTAATATTATGTAACATTTGTTTCAATTTCTTTGTTATGTGGACATTTAATTTATAACATACTTCATACTTGTCAGTTTAACTAACCAGTAATTATTAGTAAAGAATACGCTTAATATATTAATTATATTTAACGTCTTTCATAAAAAAATTAAATATATTTACCCAACTATATCGTTACGGTTACAAACCACTCCTAAATTAGTAATTTACATTTGAATTACTATTCTGAATATCTGTAAATTAAACTATACTATTTTCATAGATTAAAATCATTATTTTTTCGAATATTAATAGGATATTATACTTAGACAAAAATTTTTTTTTTTTGAAATTCAATATAATAGTGACAAATATTATTTGTATACGAATAAAAAACTAGTAAAACGAATAACAAATTAAATATTAAATTTTAGTTATTTTCGTGTTGTCAAAACTTAAAATGAAAACAAATAATAAAACATTGATAACGACGACATTAGCGCCAATTATGGTTGATAAGATAAAGCAAAGAAGCTTATAAGTTATGCAATTTAAAATATCTTTGAGATAAAAAGGTTGACGTGGGTTATATTTTGATAACGTATTCGTGTAAACAAAATTTTGAATGGCCAAAAGTAAAAATTAAAATAAAAATAATTTTAGTAGAAGCCAGAAGGTATTAGGCAACTAGAATAAAAGTATATAATTTGGTGTACATCGTATTCTAAACTAACTACTGAATTTTGTTATCAAGTACTGTTGTTAAAAAATATTAAAAATGTTTGACAATCTATCTATTTGGAAATGGCATATGGTAAGAAAATAATAAACTCAAGAGTTGAAGAGAAAACTCAACTTGAATGCTTTAAAAAATCATTATAAGGGAAAAGAAGTCAAGATTTTTAAAATCCTATTTTAATGAAGTTGGACTTGAGATTTTCAGAATTTTGAAAACCGAAGTACTATTTAACTATAACAAAATTAATTTTTTAGCTTTTTTTTTTATTATTTTCAAATGATGAGTTAGCACTTGCAATACCCTAACTTAGTTTTTATTTTAAGACTAACATTAATTTTGAGCAAAACTTTAATAATAAAAAAATGGTTTGATTTGAAAAGATTGAATTATATGTAGCTACCAATAAAGAATTGATTGCTTGGACTACAAACAAAATTCAATATCAATAAAACTAAAAAATATGTACTTAGCAAGGTTACCTCGTTACTGGACACATACATAAATAGGTTTTTCTGTTTAAGATAGCAAGTTTCATTGTATTCATTAAATTTAGCAATGAAAGAATACTTAATTTTTTATACGTTTAAGTAGGTGACACTTGAGGTGATTAATAACATCGTACAACACTAAATATATTTATGTACTATTTTGTTTTAGGATTTTGTTGGACAAAAACATGCAGAGTACTTATTTAGAACTATTATTACATTATGTGGCGTAAGTATAATAGAGTTATTGCATTATAATGTATGATGTGCTTATCAATTTCATTTTGTGATATTGTTTCAGTTCGTCGGCTTTATTTTAGGATATGTTAAAGAGCAATTCTCAATCACTATTGGTTTAACATTGATTGGATTTTTTGTTTCTGCTCTTGTAAGTAAACTTACATTTTTTTTATAAATCCTAAATTCACGCTAATAACATATTCTAGATATTCAATCGATAGGTAACATGTCTATATTTTTAATTTGACTAAATTTTCCTCTTAGTATAGTTTATGAGGTATAATTTATTAGGTTATTGATTTTTGAATTCATCATATTAGTTTGTCAAATTAAGTCTTAAATAGATGGTTTCAACCTCTATTTCTATTAAAGGACTAGGAGTAGGCAATTTTTTCTCATATAAACATTAATTTAAATATATGTCAGCTTTGTTTACGTTAGAAAAATGTTGCCGAGTCTGGAAATGTTGTGATACTTGATTACCTACTAATAAAATTAAAAAAAGTCTTAAAGAATCTGATAATTTTTCATATCAAACCACTTGATAGTTAGTAAATGTTTTTAGTTCTTTAATTTAAAATTTTAATAAATCACATAAAGTTTACTCTTCACTATTTGATGTTTAAGAAATAAACATTATGTTTAATTGCTTATGAATCCTCATTAATCAAAAAAAATTCTATTTGTTTTGTGAAATTTAACAAAATCATTAATTTTTTTTTTGTGCATTTATAGTTGACAATCCCACCTTGGCCTTTTTATGCTCGCAATCCTTTAAAATGGCAAAAAGTGAGAAAACCGGCAAAGCAAATTGAAACTGAAGAAAACAAAGATGAAAAGGATAAGAAAAAGAAAAAAAAGTAATTACTAAGTTGTGGGTGTTATGCTGTTCAGACATTTAAATATTATGTATATTCTTCCTATCATATGTTATGTAAATTATAGTTTGTTTAAAATAAACACGTAAACATATACCTGGCAACTTTGTCTCTTTTAACTAAAAATCATGAGTGCTACTGAAAATTCTGTTGACGCAAATTCTAAATTAATTCATGATATCAAACTTGGAAGGCCACTGGATTACTCATTTAAGAGTCTAAGGACCCTTTCTAGTAAACATCCATAATTGATATTGTGAACCAAAAATACCAATTTTGTTCAATTCTTAGAGCTTGGAGATGAGAAACCGAGGTCATTAAGAGTACGCGGTGTACCAGATCGTGGACCACAGAAAAAATTCATCTGTGGCGCCATTTGGTTAAATAACAATAATTTAACCATTTTAAATGGGTTAAAAAGCTTTGTAGATGATCTGATTGAGCTTCCTATGCACTTAAGTTGGCTTGATTTATCATTTAATGAGTTCGCACGGGTTGATGAAGTAAGCAAAATTAATTTGTCACAACTCAATTAATAATAATATTAAACAAAGAATTTCTACTTTGTAAAATTTAAAGGTTCATTTTTACCAATATGTACAATTTTATATTTACCTCTTTTAATTTTAGGAAATTCTTTATTTTAAAAATTTACGCATACTATACTTGCATGGCAATCATTTAAAAGACTTGAGAGAAGTGGCAAAACTCAAAGAACTTCCTAATTTAAGGTCGCTAACACTGTACGGTAATTTGGTGTCTAGAATATGTCATTACCGTGGTTATGTACTCGCCTATCTTCCACAAATTTCCAGTCTAGATTTTACAAAAATAACTCGTCAAGAGAGATTAGCTGTCACTCCGGCTGGAACTAACCAAGAAATACTGGCTAGTTTTTAAAATTAAATATGTACCTTGATATCAAAATAAATTAGAAGTGTAAACCTTTTTTTTTGTTTCTCTATTTTTGGTATAGTTTTAGAGCAAGGTGGACTAATGTCTTCCTCTTTTAAACATAATGAATACAATTTTCGAAATTTAACCACTGAACTCTAATAAAACATTTATTTAATTAGATAAATACCAAATAACTTTTTTTAATGTAGAAGGTTTATGAAAAAATTAAAGTTTATTTGTAATAAATTACAAGAAATAATTGTGTATTCGCAATAATTATTAAATAATTAAAGTAGACCAGAAGTTGAATTAGTAGTGTTGATATTTTGAGATACAACTCCGTTGGAACCATTCGTAATTACAGCGGATTCTTTTTCGGCTGCTTTATTTAAAGCTTCAACTTCAGCTAAACTTAAATGCGTTATAAATCGAAGTCGTTTTTGTAATGGTAGACGCAATCGCCGGACAATACCGTCTACCTCAGACTTCATCAAATTGCCCACATATTGGTATTTAATATGATACAATAAATCACAAATAGGATCCATGTAATGTAGAGTATGGACATTTTTATCCACTCTTTCCAAGGCGTTGAATAGCTGAACGATAATATCTAGTATAGATGGATATGGTTTCTCCAGATTGTATCGAGACAGAAATGGGGCAAACAAATGACATAAAAATATGAATTGTTCTTCACTATAAACCGCAGGTACCAACTTTTCTTTTACAAATCTAGTTTAAAATTGAAAATTGTATTACTTTCTTATCCTTTGTTAAAAATGAGATTTGTATTTAAAAAAAAATTATTTACTGTTGAAATGAAGTGATATGTCCAACGCCAGCGTGATGCCATGTTGCATGGGCTAAAGCCAACATGTATGAAAATCGGTTGTCGAGCATACAGCTGTGAGTAAGATCAAAATTGAATAGTTGAAAAGGAGTATGAATATACTTCCATGAACTTAGGCACGGACTTTGTAACAGTTGCAATATACGGTCTTGCAAGGTCACCCAAAATGGCTCGGGTAGAGCCGACATGATTAGACCAAAACTGTTAATCCAATGATGAATTTCTTTTGACGGTATTTCCGTGTATCTATAATACAGAATAAATTAATAACGCTGTCTAACCTCGGCGGTACCGAGGTTAAGAGCATACAGAGTCCACCTTGTGCCAACTAATATTCGCTGTTAATATTACCTCTTCATAATGACATCTATTAAAGAATTAGCCACTGTATCTGGAGACAACGGAAGAGCCATAAGTTCTACACAAGTCATATAAAGGGCGTAAACAGCAGGATTGGGAAACTCGTTAAATCTCCAATCGATGTTTGGAAATTTTACACTGCTGTTCATAGCTGTAAACCATGTGCTCAGGAAAATTGACAAACATTTTTTTTAAATTTAATAAATGAAAGCGGTGAAGCGTCATAGGGGACTATAGACATACTAAGAAAGGGGGAAAATTATTTGGTTATATTTAATTTAAATAACTATTTTTAAACAAATTTTTAAGTAAAATATTTTAGATTGACGCCTCACCACTGATAAAATGACTATTATTTTATCATATAAAGAGTAATTTTATAGACATAATCTAACAAGTACACTATAAGTCACTATATTTTATTAAATTAATGTGTTTTTGAAAGACTAATAAAAAAGGATACTGTCTGTAATTCTTTTGACAAGCATTACATAGTATTCGAGATCAGGCAACCAAATGGGATTAGGTGGTGTTACAGAATTGTCCGTGCTGGCACCTATTGTATTATTTGTTGATGAAGTTGCTGGTTGCATATACCTTTGGTAAGATTCCGATAACGTCCAACAACAACGAGTTTCACACATGGATCCAAGTATAGCGCATACTAGCCTGCGTTTTAAAGATGGTCTTTCACGCAATTTTGATTCATAGTAATGCAATGTGTTATACAAATACGTGACTGGACGATCTAATAAAATATTTTAGAAATTAAAAAAAAAAAACAGCAGTTATAAAACATTAATATTTTAATTACCGTGAAATTTATATAAGCAACCCAAATGGTCTAAAAGTGTTTCTAACGATTTTGATACAGGCGGCAGCTCTAGGTATCTATGAATTACAATGTCAAATACCTAGAATTTAAAATTGGTAATAGAATAAAAACAGAAGAAGAGGGGTTGTAATTTACAATTCATATTGAACAGACAATAGGAGATTTGTCAAGGAAATTAGTAGACAAACGAGGAGTATGAAACGGGATAAAGAAACGAGTAGAGCGAGACTGTATATGTAATTTACAAAGAAATCGACATTACAGTTACTTAATGCTCAAAATAGATAAAAAAATAAGCATGCAAGAAGCATCACATTTTTTCAGTAAATTTTTCCTTAGTTAAAATTCATTGATAAAAAAGCAACAGGTAGATAGAAGTAATAGAACTAAGTTTAAAAACCAAAGGGAAAATGTTGAAGGATTTATTGAACAAAAAGACTCTAAGCAATTACATTGAAAAACCTGATCTGAAACTAGATTGTCACCTTGAATACAATCTGTATTAACAGACTAAATATTGAGAAGGGAAATTAGTATGTTACAAGTTTTAAGAATACTAATACATAAATGCAGTAACCACAAAAACAAAGAATGGCTGGTTAGACATTTTTCGACTCGAAACCAAACTTTACTCATTATTAAACTGTAAGACTTACTGGTAAAAATCTAAGACACACATTACCGAAGTACACAGGTAAAGGTTGATAAGATGCCGGTTCTAAAATTCCTTCTGGTGCAAACTTTTCTGGATACTTCCTATGGAATGCTAAATGTTTTTCATGCCTATACAGTAAAATATAATTTTAGTAAACTAAATGCAAGAATGTAATAATATCTTTCACATTCATTACCAATTAGATTGCTTCCAATGTTCTGGAGAGTTTTCTTTGACAAATTCTTGAACGCGAGCTCTAAATTCTGCACCCTTGAATAGTAGTAGTTGTATAATAAAGAAACAAACTTGTGCTTCACTTCCTTCTTGAGTACGAAGTGCCTGTAATTTATTTTTAATTTAAAATCATATACCTATTAATTCTTTCCTTTTTATGGACTATACACTACAACATTTTTTAATGAATATACTTAAAATTAAAATACAAGAAAAGTGGAAGTAGCCAATAAGTTTCTGGTCAGATATGAACGTAATTGTTCAAAGTAATTCAGAAGTCTTTAGACAGTTGAGAGAACTCAGTGGGTACTTTTATTTTCCTTGTACTTTATTTGTTACATACCAAGCACAAAACAAGTCGATCTATCGTAACAATATTATATTTCCAAATCATACTGTTGATAGCATCGACACATTTGTTGACATGTTGACCTTCTTCAGATACTGCAAACTTAAATACTAAATAATCACAAAATTTACGAAGGTGTGCAGATAGTGCTCGCGCACCAATTCTTTCTAAAATTCTAAAAAAAATTAATAAGGAAAAATTAATAAAATTTATTCAGAAGGGGCTCATTATTTTTTTTAAACCGACTTGTAAGCAATAGGATTGATTCTGTCTGTTTCTAAAATCATTTTCCACAATAAACATAAAAATAACGGATGAGCTCCAGGAACGGAAAAATGAGCTATTATGTCATTTTCATTTGTCATTGAAGCCCAATTACGATATTCTTCTTCGACGGCTTTCTAAACAAAATAATATTATATAAGTATATTATATTCAGGGGTCGGGAAAAAGTTCCATAAAAATTTACATTTTATACTTTTATTAAAATAAACTTCCTTAATTAAAATGTTTTACTGAATTGACAACTATCTTACACATTACAAAAATGATAAAAATAGATGTAAAAAAAATAATAATAGGGTCAAAAACATTTTTATTTGAAACCTTGATGTTTTTTTTTTTGTAAATCAAATATTACTTTTTTAATTAGAGGGTTAAGTGTGAAATTTGCCCAAAACTTTAACCGGACAAAAAGTTAGATCTAAGTATTACTCAGCAAACGACTTGGGAGCAATATGAAAAATAAATTGAAATTGACTTACTTTGAGTTGCTGCTTGTTTTCTTTAGTAACTGGGTTATGAACAAAAAAATCAGCGAGAGCTGGCGGGAAGCACTGCAACGTATGTTGTGCCCAATTGTGAGGTGTATTTGTCATGATTGTTGTGAGAAGTTCTTTGCACCAGGAACCTTCTTGACCTGCCGATGTCCCTGTAATGTGCATGGATCTGGCTAATGTCAAAACAAGAGCACGGTTGAGTTCTTCACACTCGGCAGATACTAAAGTTTTTGGTTCGCTGAGGAAACGTGAAAGCGGCGGCTGCACTTCATTACTTCCGAGGCTAGTAATTAGACGTAATGCTGTACTTTCAACGCTAAAAATAATTTTAAATTTTTATCTCTTTTGTTTATAACTTATTAGCACATTCTAAAATACCATAAATGTAGTTGGGTTTGATTTGTTTGTGGAACGGCCGCTAAACTGTGCAAATGCGAAAGAAGTTGGACCCTGTAATGCGGTTGAATATGATGCATTCTGTAGCTAAACATTTCTAATAGCGTGTATAGAATTCCCCAAGCGTGAGATTTGAATACCGTGGGTAATACTTGACCTGCGTAATTCATAAAAATAAATAAGCAAATTTAAGTTTGTATAAACTTTACTGACTTATAAATCCTTTGATGCCCAACGATTCTATTTCCGTGTAAACCAAAAGTCTGCTATACGTTTCGACTAAGGCCGGAGCCAGTGCCATATTTGATTTGGATTGTGCTAACTTAATCACATGAGTTACAATGCTGTGTATCAAACTCATCTTTGCGTGAATAGTCAAGGAATCTAAAACAGCCATACTAAGCGGTGTGGTAGGGCCCATAGTGCCAGAAGACGATGCACTTCCACTTATTGGACTCGTAGTTCCTCCGGAGCCGGGTACAGCAGCTACTGGCGAAGTGCCTCCAACGGTAGGTGTGACTACTGGAGATTGAGTCGGTTGCTGAGGGTTGGACGTAACACCAGACAAGTTTCGGCTGCCGGTATTACCTAATACGGCTTCACAAAGAGCAGCCATTGGTCGAGATAAATATTCATTATTCGTAGAGAATGCGTTACACACTAATACTACACGATAATCAGTGCCCATGCATAAGGCACCGTTAGCGGGCTGAACAAGTTGTTGTAAGTAACTAAAACAAAAATTGAATATTAATAAAATGTCTTTAAAAAAAACAATTATAGCCATTTGCACCAACTATACTTAAATTTTAAGAAGAGTAACCTATAGTTACAGTATTGTTATACTACCCTTAAATTTTAAGCATAGTTGGTACAAAAGGTCACTAGTCTCATAAAAACATACTCATGGTGTGCTTTTAACGCAAGCGGTATTGGTCTATGAAATTTGATACTATCCATATGAGCTTTACGTAACAAATGTATCCAAATACAAGTAACGGCCATTTGATGTGTACACAGCGGACTGGTTATATCCGGAACCGGTAAGGGTTCTTTTTCGGGATATAAGAGATCGTATAATTTCAATACTGGCAATATATTTTCTAACTAAAATCATTTGAATGTTTCTTAGAGCTATTGAAATTGTGTGGTTGTTTTTGGATACTTACAGAACTCCGTTGAATACTCCCCGAAATGTATTGTAACAGTACCCACATCAATCTATCTCTCGATCTGTGTAAATCTTTTTTCAGTAACTAAAAAAAGAAATTGTAGATATTAATAAAAAAAAAAACAGTAGAAATACATTTTTTAAAAACATTTTATGTTTGAAAATGGTTTTAGAAATGTATTAATATTTCCCTATACTTTTTAAATTTATTTAAAGTATTTAATTTCTAATTAATCAAATTAATTGTTTTACAAGTACATATTATCGTAATATTTTGTACTTCATAGTTCAAATACCGAATGTTAAGTATTTTGCCCATATTTTGTAATTACTCAAAAGAATGAACGTAAATGTTTAAGTACTTTTTCGTGAAGAGCATTAACAATGTTTGGGAACACAGAAAACTGAAACAGTATAAAATAAATCAATTGGCTAGATATGTGCAACCAAAGCCAATGATTTTCATCAGGATCTGCGCCCTCTGTTATTTCTTTATCGCTTCTCTCCATTGACCGTATAATCAACTCGACCAACTGTTCTTCCAAAACTCTACATCGTTGTTTGGTCTAAAAAAAAAAAAAAAAATGAGTAAACTCAACATAAAATTAAAATAAACAGTAATACAAAGTTTTATTTTTTCTACCCCTTTTTGTAATCCAAGCATTGAGCAAACAGTGTCTCTAGAATAAGGCTGTTCGAGCACGTATCTGAAAAGTTTTATTTGAGGCTGCATAAGTTGTTTAGGGTATGGAATATTTCCTTTCAGCGTTAATTTTAATGTATCTGAGTCCAATTTCCATGGCATGATCATTTCGTCGTTATAACCAGAATGTTCTACAACAGGCAACATCGTAGATTGACCAATTATCGATGTCATTTGTGCCGCACCTCTAAAACTTTCTATGAAATTTGATACTAAACAGCCTAATTTCTTGACAAAAAAAAAATTAATAAATAATTGATTAAAATGTTTTTTATTCAAACAGTAAAAGCATAAGCTGAAATTTTACCCAATGTGGCCATCCTTTTTTATCATTATACAACTTGAGAATTTCGTTTATAACAAAATAACCTGGAAGGAGACACGCTTCTCTATCAAACATATACCGAATTACATCTTCCAGTACGAGAAATTGGGGCAACAACGAAGCCGGTAATACTTTTGGCATAGCATTTACTTTTTCAAGACAACTCTATATATTAACAGAATAATATTAATTTTATTTGGTATATAGTTAAACACAATTTATTCACCTTCATTATTTCTCTGACTCCTTTATAATCGACTGTGGCTAATATAGATTTTACTATGTGAAAACATTCTATCCAAAATCCGGAATTCGTATACACAAGATACTCGGAATGCATTATACATTCACACATTAACCTAAAATTAAAAAAAGGCGATGAAAACCACTCTTTTACAATATATTTTACATATTAAGTTTTTTTTTGGTACATTACAAAGAAATAATATTTTTAAATTAACAATATCGTAACTTTTGATATTCTAATATAGAATGGATTATAAACATTATTAGTTGTGATTACTTTGAAGAAATTCCATGGTTTTGGACCATTTTCTGTAGCATATTAAGAAAAACTTTTTGGCGAACACCAACTGTCAGTGTAGAAGCTGTTTTCAGCACTAATTTGATTGCGGTGCCCTGTTGTTCTTCCGGTAATCGTGTGATAACTGCAGTAAGATTTAGAAACAGCTTATCCATTTGTTCATTATTTTGAAGAGAGTCTTTATGAACATAGCCATTAAAAGCTTCGGTGAGTTCATCTACTTTCTGAAAAACATACGGCAATAGAAAATGAAAATTATTAAATACAGAAATCAAATTAACTATGTTGTATTACAGCTATGTCGCTGAGTATTTGGATGATGTTTGCTTCAGTCATTTTGATGTATCGACTAACGAAATGAACTTTAAAGTACAACTATTGACATGTCCATCATTTAATGGTTGGTGTTTGGATCGAAAAATATTAACATTATCATATTATCATGTGTGTAATCAAATAACTAGTTAAATTTTATGTAATCCAGCTTCATTTGAGTAACAATATATAAAAATTCTGTGTGACTGAAAGATGCCGATCGTGGCTTGTTTACACATAGGTGTTATAATTTATATTTAATTGTAATCTTTTAAAAAAAAAGCAACAACAACAAATCCAGTGATAACAACTGTTCGCCGGCAAAATATTATTTGGTAGTCGGTTACTTACCATTTTTTTTTTTTTTTGGATAAGGTAACCATTGATAATTTGTAAATATATTTGATATAAAAAGCTGATGAAAACTGAAATAAAATTACATTTTAAATAGTAAAGAAATCAATTCACAATTCACTCAGGGCTTAAAAATTAAAAATAAACAATATTTATATAATTCAAAATTTTTTCTGATTTTTTGTACTGCATTTTAATTTACCAGAATCTAAACTATGACGACCCTCGAAGTGAATTCATTACCTATTGACGGAAATAGACTTTTTTCGACATCATTATTTGTAAGACTAATAAAAATAAACTTATCGATAAATATAGGTACTTGTAATTTCACTTTTGCAAAATTTAAATAAGTAGATTCAATTATTTTGCTTAAAACTTATCGTTTGTAAATTATCAATTTTTTTTAGACTTTTTTACATTATTTCACAGTCATGGTAGTATAGTAGTAAACTAGTATTGTTATACATATTTCATACAAAGAATCAGATAGAAGAAAATTTATAAAATTTGACATTTTCTTGAAAAACTTAACTGCTGTCCTATAAAATCACCTTTTTATCACATACATTTTTTTAATTTAGCTATCAGTGTTAAAAAAAGTTTGATTATATATTAGTCTAAGTTAATGAACACGGTTGTCCTATAACATTTAAAAATACTCAAATTCTATTATAATAAATTGTATCGATTATTTTTAGGCAGGTGCGGCAGCTGGTACTATAGTTGATGTTGCGCTATTTCCTTTAGATACATTAAAAACTCGGTTACAAAGTCAATATGGATTTATTCCATCGGGAGGTTTTAGAGGCATTTATAAAGGATTAACACCAACCATAGTTGGTGCTCCATTGACAGGTTTGAGCATAATACATTTCAATTGTAGTAAAACACCTTTTTAAACTTATAAAAGTCTTCATTTTTAGCTGGATTATTTTTCGGGACTTACGATGGTTTTAAAAATTTATTTCCAAATGTTTCAAATAACGTAGCCCCAATTGTTCATATTTGTGCAGGGACTGCTGGTGAAGTGGTATATTTTCTAATGAAGTATGTTATTTTTTAAATATAAAATTTATACAGCTTTTCATTGTGTTAAATACTTAGGTTTGTTGTGTGACTAAAGTACCTATAGAAATAGTGAAACAAAGACGTCAAGCATCTCCTACTCAAGAATCTATTGTCAAAATTATTAAAAAAGCATATACAAGTGAAGGTATTTGTGGATTCTACCGTGGTTTTTGGACAACTGTTATAAGAGACGTACCATTCTCAATGTTGCAACTTCCGCTTTGGGAGTATTTAAAAAAAGAACTTAAAGTGTTCACTGGCCGTCCGCTAACTCCTTTGGAGGTGGCTTTATGTGGTTCTATTGCAGGTTATTATTTTAATTATTACAATAATATATGACACTCTTTACAAAAAAATAACCTGTTTTTGAATAAAACAGAACCGGCTCAACATAAATATTTACACAAACTTAAATACACATTGCCTAGTTTCATCTTTGCAACCAAAATAATGCAATGCAAATGTGATAAAATGTCAAGAACCATTAAAAAACTAATTTTTAAAAACCTTAGTTACCTACTAACTAGCTTGTTTCTCGAACTTAACTAAAACAATACTTCAGAGTATTTTTAGCTATGCCAAGCTTAGGTTTTAATAGAAATATTATTGTTAAAACTCATAATAACATTACTAGTTCAAACAGGCAACCTTAGTAACTCATGTATTTAAAAAAAAAAAAATGTTCACTCAATAAACAGACATTGCCGAAATTCTTAAGCGCTTTATAAAATAAAATTTACCACTTATATTTTAGCATGGATGTACAATTGGCAATAAATGCTTAATTCAACGATGTCAAGACTTAACCAATAGAGTAGAAAGATTGGAATTACAGTTGAACCGTCTATGCTTGGAAAGGTCAATGATTTTTATTAATACAATTAAGTATAGTATAAAATATTTGATGCCGAACAAAAATGCATTTTAAATAAATAAAATGAATAGCCAACCAAGTTAAATAACTATTTTTCTAAAAAAATTTAAAAATTAAGTTTTAAAAAAAAGAGTTGATAAAAGAAAAAAAACAAATTGTTTGACAAACTATACGTTTTATGATATTGCTTAAGTCTTGGTTTTTGAAGTTTGTTATTGGGAAAATCATTTACTCTTCATATCACTATTTCGCATCAATTTTTTAGTATATGTATATTATATTTTTATAGTCATGTCGTTATTCATTATTTGTCATAATGTATAATTATTTTAATAACATTTCTTAAATTTTAATTACTATAAAAATATTATGCAGTTTGTCTAAGTAAAAACTTAGTCTCAAAACTTGAGTCAAAATTAAAGCCAACCACACTTTTTAAATTTAAGAAGTGGTTTTAAATACAATTATAACAAATAAATTAAATTTAAATTGTTATATATGAAAATAAGTAAAATGTAAATTATCATACATAAAAAAAAGGTATTATTTATAAAAATGTATTTTAAATAAATTTGAAACCATACAATTTGTCAAACACATTTTTTTTGTATAACAAATAAAATAAAATTTATCAAATACTAAGGAAATAGTTTTTGATTACTAATTAGTTAACTAAGTAATCAATCACTTAATTTTTAGGTGGTGTAGCTGCAGCGTTAACTACACCTATTGATGTAACCAAGACTCAAATAATGTTAGCAAATAATGCCGATGAACAAAATTTGAAGAATGTATTCATCAAAATTTATAAGACAAAAGGGTTGAATGGGTAATTTTTTTAATTATGAATTCTTGAATTTTGACTGTACGTCTATGTTAATTTTCAAACCATTCTATAAAAATAAAATCTTGAAAATTTTTAAAAATTATCCACAAATCCCATAATTTATACCCTACTATGAAAGAATAATAAAAATACAATAATTATTTTAAATAGTGTGACAAAGAATAATCAAATGATATATGTGTTTTCCAGGTTATTTGCTGGTTTCCTACCGAGAGTTATGTTTATCATGTTAGGTGGTGCACTCTTTTTTGGTTCATACGAAAAAGCTTGTACAATAATAGAAAGTAAGAAAAAGAGAGACAAGTATTTATAGTTTTTTTATGTTTATAAAAATATATATTGTACTTATTGTTTCGTTACCAGTAGATGTTCATAAAAAAAAAAAATTATAATTTGTTTTATAATATTTTGGTAGTTAAATTTATTTTTATGCGAATAATATTAATCAGATGAATGCGATGATTCGTAATCGACAGATACAAGAGATGGGATAGAACCACTAACAGCTGTCGAAGTTGGTGGTTGTTCTTTTTTGGTTGGTGCTGTTGACTGAACAATGCCAACATCAAGGTGCTTTTTTGGTTTATTCAATTTAGTTTTGGGTATTTTACGAAGTCCTTGAATAAAATGTTTTCGTTTTGTCCTCGTACCTGTAAAAATAGTAAAATATTTGTTGTAATAGTATAACAATAACTTTTTCAATTTAACTTTAAAAATAAAATAAAATTTGGTGTGGCTATCTCATTAGAGCATATCATTTTCAATTTCAGAGTTTTGAAGTAAAATGCAACTTTTGCATCGACTCATCGACAAGAAGAACAAATATTCTTAATAGCTTAGATTAATAGTCCAAGCTATTACGAATACAATATTCGTCTGAGACTTGAAATAGAAAATTTTTTTTTCTGGAATGGACATTTTAATCGATGATTGTAGAAACTACAAGAGTCAATTTGTTAAATATAATTTTTTTATAAACTCAATGGATAGAAACATGACTTATTTTATAGAATTGTGTTTTAAGTAGAAAAACATTCTTGTTGTATGATTCTCTCCGTTAGTATACAAAAAAATTATATTTAAGTGTCCAGAACAAATAATTTTTACAAACTAACGAAATTAGTAATTGTCAATAAAACATATTTAACAGATTATATATATATATATGTCTTTACATAATAATTATTATATTTTTTATGTGGGGAACAAATGATTTGTAATTATTTGGAAATTCAAAACTGTTTGGCCAAATTTTATTTAACGAGCATCATATTATAGGCTTTACTAATTCTTAGGACAGTAGGCTTTTTCTTACATGATCCACCTCTGAGTGTATATATAATTAAATGCTTACTGTCAGATGTTTGGAAGCTCAATAATTTTGCAATTTTTGCGTCTTCTTCGATTTCATCTACTAATGGAATACTTAATGACAATCTTTCTTTTAAATTATTGTCAAGTTTTTCTTTGGCAGCAATTGTTTGTTTTTGTGTCTAAAATATTTAATTAAAATGTTTAATTGCCAAAGTATTAGTATATTAAATTAGATTATTTACCCTAAGCTGTTTACGTAACAAAGAGTTTGCAGCAAAGTCATCATTCCATTTGGAATCTTGTATATCGTGAAGTTTTACAAGAGCTGGTGCAGCTTTTTTCGCTTTGTCGATATCTTCAGTTCCATGTTCCAATTTAAACATGGCATCGTCGAACAAACGTTTACTAGTATCTTTATCTTCCGGAACAATCTGTTCATTTTCTATAGGATCCCATCGGTTTTCTTGGCGACGTGCACCATTTACAATCACATAGTCTAAATTCTGTTTTTAATATATAAAAATAAATAATAATGTAATCAAATTTAAAATTTAAAATTGACATACTCCAGGATCAGTTTTAATTTCAAAGTGATTATCGCAAAGATGGCATTTCATTCGGAACTGATACACAGGTGTTGAGTAATACATTCCAATTTTCTTTTTTTCTGCATTATACCTAGTTAAAAATATATCACTTAATCATTCCAAGCAAGCTTCTAAACGCATTAGACAGGTTGTCGGCCTGTCGTTGGAAAGAGAGATGGCAGTTTCTTTTGACTATGCAGTTTTTCGCTTAGTTAACGAAACTGCCTGAGACCAAATGTCAAACTGGCAACTATTGTAGCTATTGCTAACAAACCCACTTAGCCACTTGTCCTCTTCTTTTATTATAGACATTACTTACCTGACTCCCATTCCAATATGATTGTTACATCCTTCGCACCAAATATTGTAGGGCATTTCAAAACGTATGATCAAAATCCCCATATGGAGTTTGCGAGCTCGTTCTCTCAAGGCATGAGTACCTTTAAATTTATTTAGTCCTCCTACTGCCGGGTTGTAGTCTGGAGGATAGTATTTATTCTGTCCTTTACGCTCACCCATCTTGATTAATAAAGGTCACTTAAATATGCTTTCTGTAAAAAAAAATCTTTAGAAGTACTATATCAAAAAATGTTTAAATTATTAGTTTATTTTTGAAACAATAGTAGTTTTATTTATAAACTTTATAATTGTTTCAACAATAACTATGTGTTCAATAATAAAGGTAAAACCTGATTTTTTTATGATATACTACGATTTTGAAAAAAAAATCCTATATGAAACAACAATTTTAATTTTTATCAAATAATAATTTTAAAAAAAAATTTCAGAAGCTAGTTTTAGGGGAGGGGTAACTTTTGAAACTTAAATGGTAAATTAAGGTTAGGTTAGGTTAGCCGATACTGCCGATTTAAGCACATATGTAAATTAGTAGCACACACACATAGGTATGCATAAAAGGACACTATAATTTTATCCTCTAAACGTCCTCCGCCACCGTCAAGCCATTAGTGGTGATAATAATCAGCACCAACAACACAACCAGAGCAAATCAAACTTGGTACTCTTGCACCAAAGCTCAAAACCATCCCAGCCGTTTCACACTAGCTGTATGAGTAAGCAATTGAAGTATCTAATTCATTATTACCATTTTAAGTGTTTAAAGAGAAATATGTAATGTGTCATGTTGTTTAAATCTGTCAATAATACAAGTGATTTTACAATAAATAGATAAGCCTCTTAATAGGAATTTTTAGTAGCCTATAATATTCATATATTATGCATAGTATTCATATTGCTGAGCAATATAAATTTTAATTTATAGTTTTGTGTTTCTGCCTTTTTTACTTGCTTTACTTTTTCAACCTCTTTTTTTATATAGTAAGTGTTAGAAAAAAAAAATTGTTTAACCTAAAATCTAGGTTAATCTAGATTAACAATAATTATTTGTTTCATTAAACTAATTATTATTCATTCAAGAACACATCTTATTTTTTATTGTAAGTTGCACAAATTATTATTTAAATGTTACTTACCGAATAAAAAAAAAATGTCAAACGTTTTAAAAAGATAGTAAAATAACTATTAATTATTTTAACAGATAATAATAATAAGTTGTTACTATAATTATTTTAATAATTTAAACAACTATTTATTCACTGTAAGTGAAATTAATAACAATGAACTACTTTGTTATTATTTTAAGTTGGGTAAACATTTTATACGTATTTTATCACCGATATATTTGAGTTAAAATTTTCTTATACGTCACATAAACTTATTAATATTATTAGTTGTAAATTTATCAAAGAAATTACAATTTCAGTTTATTACATTTATAACACAATAATAAAAAAACTTAAAAATTACTATTATATACATTATTTAGTCAGTAAATTTTTTTTTTTTAATGCTTAATTTTTTTTTTTTTTTTATTAAATATAGTCCGCGACAGCTGTGGTCATTGGACTGTCATTATTTTACATAATTAAATAACAATCTTATGCATTATATATGAGTAATTATATGAAAGAAACAGTTATATTTTTAAATTTTGTTGATAAGCTTAATGCTTAATTAAATGCTTACCAATTTCAAGCTTTAAAACCAAGCCCTTTTCTTAAATATTCTATTGGTAAAATAAATGAATTGAGACTTTAACAGATAAAATCTATTAAGTTAGTTTAAAGCATTATTATATTTTTAATTTAACTATTAAAATAATATAGTAGGTACTGTATTATTATTTGTCGTTTTGTATTATTTAGTCTATTAGGCTTAAATCTTAATGATAATATATAGTGTTATCATCAATTTAGTGACACAGATTTATTATCAAAAACGTTATCAGTTATGAGTCCGACCAAGATTAACAGGTAACAGCATAGACCTATAAAGAAATCTTTATAGGTCTATGGGTAACAGCTAATATAGCTTTATATTTTATAAGTTATAACCATATACAAAAAGGTACCTATAAAGACATTAATGATCTTAGTTTATGTTAAACACCATAAACCATATTCTGAATTGAAAATATCAAACATGAATAATGAATCATAATCCCCGAGATCGATAGATCATAATCCCCGGTATACACTAAAGGCAAGGCAACGCTATACACTTACCGTGTTGCAGTTGCTTCCTAGTTCCTATTTATTTTCATGTTTGATGTTTCGATCTAGCCGTAAGCGAAACATGTAGTAACTAATGAACGTTGCCTCAGTGTGAACCGGGCTCTATATTCATTATTATGTCTATAAATAATAACTAATGCCAATTTAAAATTGTAATATCAATATTAAACACTAAGCCAAAATGACCCTCAACGTTATCGCTATGTCGGTTTTACGCCAAGAGTTGTACTCCGATATCCGCCTAAAAAATTAAAATTATTTTAATAGCCCCCGAACCTATACAATCTTACACTATAAGCGAGTTAGAAATAGACGCTATATTCTAACGAATTACGAGTTCCTAATTATATTTTGTTAAAATGTTAGCCATACACTTTTTGTATGACACCTCCGCTGAACTAAAAAAAATGTTTAATTGATTAAAATTTTATTTTGATGTATTTTTTTTTCATCAGTAAAAAAAAATGTAGTGATGAACACGTTTAAATATATTTTAAAAAACCCATGTTTGAATTTATTAATTGATAGTTCTTTGTATAACTATTGTAAAATAAGCACACCATGAAATTATAATTATCAGCAGAAAGTCTAGAGAGTTCTAAAGGGTGAAGGAAAATTGTTGGTATAAGTGCAGTCTAGTATGTCTAGGAACTTTTGTCATCAAATAGCTATCGATATGGGTACTTATACGTATTTTATCAACTTATTTACATATATATATATATATATATATATATATATATATATATATATATATATAAGTAAGTAGCAAAAAATAACATTTTCAAAAAATATCAATAAAAGAAAAATAGGTTCACAATAACTGACGGTTACTACGGTTTATAATTTATAACACTAATAGCATAGCTACTTATAAAAATGGAAAAAATCCATACTCGACGGTCAGTTAACTTCGTGTTTAAATATTAATCTACGGGGTCAACCTATATTAAGACAACAAATATCACTATTGGCAAATAATACCAAGTAAATTAAATGGTAGTTAGTGTATAAATATTTAATGTGGGACGTGGGTATACTATTATGATAGCTTTTAAATTTACCATTTCTAATTTTTTATTCCACAGTATCAAATATTAAAATTATTATTTTAATTATTTGCCAACATCTTTGTTTGTCCCGCAAGAAAGTGGAAACTTTACATAGAACAATATGCTCTTCGTGGTTAATTCAATGTAAATGTCTTAATGCTTATACTGTCTTTTTTTATTGTACCGACATCTATTGTTTATTTATTTGGTTTTCACACAGAAAATTAGAAATATATCTTAACGTTTTTTTTTTAAATTATATTTTATATAGATTATTTATTTAAGTGTTTGAATTATTATTCATGTTTTCAGTTGTAATATTTAGCAAGTATTTTTGAATTATTTATTTTGTTGCAACATTTACGATTTCCTGCTAAAATGTATGATTTAAAAAACATTTTGACAATAATGATTAATGATAAATATTATTCAAAAATTTTACAAATATAACAGTAATTGCTGTGTGGGATTAGTCATAACTTATAAAAAAAAAAGAGAGGTGTGTGGTGTTATTCAGTAGCCAATAGCATGTAATATGTATAAGTTTGCACTCCCACTAAATTTTTTTTTGTCGTTAAAATCTACATCGGTGACGTTGAACGCTCTACGTTGTATTGATTAATTTTGTCGACGTCGCTACACCTATTTTGTTATTGATAAATGATAAATAATGAAAAATAAAAATATATTAGTGACTCTTATCATTATGGTTCCATAAACTGTCACCGTATTTTAACAGCGTTCCGAATTCCTGTATCAATGAAGATTGAAGTGTGAACAGTGAACGTACCTAGTTTTGTGTAAAGGCATTGTAGTATAATTTATAAGCATTGGTCTTCATTCTTTGTTTGTAATTTGTGGAATTTTAGTTGTTTAGTTGAATTCAAGTATATCAATTATCAATGTCTTTTCACTAAACTGTATTAACTTTTAGTCTGGCGTGGAAGAATATGATTACATTAATGGTGTTGACAGGCAAAAGTTACTGTAGTAATTTACTAAAGTAATGTTTATGACTGTTATCAAAATAAAATATTAAAAAAGTTGTTTTAAGTATTTTCAACTACATCGACTTCGACTAAATGGGGTAAGTCGTATTTAGATTAATTACACAAGTGTATTTATACTAGATAAGATATGAGAATTTTATAAATAATAAGCTGTTTTAAATTTCAATAAGTTGTCCTTTAAACTATTACGAATTAAGGAGGTTGGATGACGTTGATCTACCATATGAGTAAAATATATTTGTTATAGTCGTGTTAACAGTATTTTTAAATATTCAATCTGGGCAGGTTTCGAGTATAATAACTAATAAGAATCTTGAGGCGAAAAAACAATTTTTCATTTATCTGTTAAGCGGACAGTCCGCTTTTGTTTGACCGATCCTTAAGTGAATAGTGTGTAGACTGTGAGTGTACTATTCAAATTGATCATTGACAATACAACTACAATTAGATACCGCATAAATCATAATTCATAATAATGTATATAGCCCTTTAGAGCTTATGTCACTTAATGCAAAAGTGTCGCAAAAAACTTTTTAACCTTTGATATACCTATGGACGATTTTTAATTGGTAAACCTACTGAACTACAATTATACTGTTAGTGAGTAAATCATACTATGTATTTACGAAAAGAAAATTTTGTATCACAAATATTTAACTTTAGTTTTAAAAAATAAACAAAATGGGTATAAATTAGTATGTAATGTCACAACTTTTATTACGTGCAGACTATTGGTGCTCTAAATGATTGTTATTTTTCATTATATTTTAGTTCCAAAAAGTAAACTTCAATAAATAATTTAAATTTTTATTGTAATAAATAAACAAAAACAAATTTTAAATAGAATTGACCGAAAACCAATATCATTTTTACAAAATATTATATTAAATATAGAAATATGTAATAAGAATAGTTTAATGTTTTTCTCATGCAAGTTTTGATATTATTCTATAAAATATAAAGTTAAATGTAAATTATATGTATACCTATAATCATTTTCACCAGCCTCTTTTTTTTTGAGCTTTGGGGGGGCTATTGCTCCCATGCCCCCCCCCCTTGTATCCGGTCTGAACTAGACCTTCATTTTAGGGGGTGTTAAAATTATGTGTACCTGACTAAACATAATTTTTATCTTCAGATTATTAGATATAATAAAATAATATAATAACTGAGAACAAAAATATTGTAAAATAAAAAATTTGAACAGAGTATGTATTTAAAGTATTTTTAATATTAGTATTATCAAAATTTGTATATTTTGGGGGTGCTAAAGTCCCCTAAGCAAGTCCCCCTAGTTGCGCCTATAATAATGTATACTTTTTTATACAGTTATAAGGATACTTTATTAATTATTTTCCCATCAAAACTGCTGTACGCTTTCCCATTTCATTAAATATTAATCAATGTCCGTATCCAATTATTAAGATTGTTAGCGTAGACAACATATCTTTTTTTTGTAAGCTAGTTAATTATAAAATGTGTTATTGTGTTTACATTTGTTGTTATTACATGTTTTCTATAACATTTGATATTTATATTTTATTTAAAACAATATTATTCTGTTTCAGTAAAATGTGGTTAAAAATTAAGGTACTGATCTGGAAAAGCTTACGTTTACGCAAAAGACATTGGATTGGTTCGATTTTTGAAATAACAATTCCTATATTGTTATTTATCTTTCTGGTCTACCTGAATACAAAATTAGCTGTACCTAATAATGGTCCAATCACAGTGAATGCGTCTATACCAGATCCTATTTATGAAGAACATTTAACCAAGGATTTTATAGATAAATATTCCGCTAATAGTAATTTTATTTACACTCCTAAAAATAAAAAAACTGAGCAAGTAATGCTTAATGTTATGGGTTTATTGGAAATATTTCCTAATCATGTGACAACAACAAACAGCGAAAGCGAGATGATAACACAATTCATAAACATGCACAACAGTTCAAAAAGGGAAGGATTTGGAATAGTTTTCATCGGATCCGTGGATTCTAAAAAATTTACTTATAAAATTAGAAGTACAAACGAAGTTTGGAATACCGATTTATTGTTTCCAACGTTAGAAGTACCCGGACCAATGGATTCTGGTGAAACATATTTTAAAACTGGATTTCTCGCATTACAATTGGCTTTGGATAAATCATTTATTCAAGTTAATAACCCCGAAGCTGCTAAGACCATACAATCATACAACTTTGCGATTCAGTCGTATCCATATGCAAAATACATAATTCAAGATATCACGACTATATTTCAGTTAGTATTACCAATGTTCACAGTTATAAGTTTTTTGTTGATGTGCTCATACACAATTCAAAGAGTTGTAGAAGAAAAAGAATCCGGTGTCAAAGAGTTAATGAAAATGATGGGCCTCAAGTCATGGATGATATGGGCAGGTTGGTTGTTGCATAACATAATGGCATATTTGATATCGGTCGTGATAATTGTTTGGCTATGCTGTGTAAGAGAAAACGAGGAAGGAGGAAAACTGTTAAATCACACAAATCCATTGCTGTTTGGAGTATTTCTTATGGTGTATATAATTTCTGGAATATTTTTTTCCTTTGCAGTTAGTGGTTTTTTTTCTAGACCCATACTTGCCACAAACATTGGTGTTTTGTTGTGGTTGGTTTCATATAGCGTACCTTCTCAATTGTTAAAATCGGCTGGTTATAAAATCAAATTGTTTTCCATGTTATTGCCAAACATGGCGTTATTTAATGGTTACACTTCAATAGCGTCACTGGAAACACAAGGTTATGGTCTTCAGTTTTCAACCATTTTTGTTAACGGAAAAAATGATGAGTTTTCTGTTGGATTAGTATTGTTGATGTTAATTCTTGACAGTTTATTGTATGCATTTATTGCGTGGTTCATGGATTGTGTCAAACCAGGACAATATGGCATCGCTAAACCAATAAATTTCTTATGTACTTGGTCAAAGTCAACGTCTGAAGATATTGTTAAGATACCAGTGTCAAAAAAGGAAAGCAAATTATTTGAAAAAGTTAATGCGGAATATGAGGTCGGTATCGATGTGCAGAATTTGTACAAAAGTTTTGGTAATTGTCATGCTGTAAATGGGGTAAATTTGCAAATATATAAAGGACAAATAACTGCTTTGTTGGGTCACAATGGCGCTGGAAAAACTACTACTATGTCTATTATCACAGGTATTAATTAGTGTAAATAATTATAGTTACCAGATTTCATATTTTACTATTGTTTAATGTCCATAGGAATGTATTCGCCCACTAATGGCAGTGTTGCAGTAAATGGTCGTGATATTTTTAACAATTTAGATAAATTCAGGGAAAGTCTCGGCCTATGCCCTCAGCATAATTTATTGTTTTCGTATTTGACAGTTTTTGATCATTTATTATTTTTCGGAATGGTAAGTACCGCTGTGGTCCTCTAGAGAATTATAGGCACTTATGTATCATACGGATCCCCCTATTTTTTCAATATCAGGGGGGAGGGTCTGTATAATACACAAGTACCAAGCTATGTTTATTTTAAGTGTCATGATTAATTTTAATTACAGCTTAAAGGATTATCGTATAGCGATTCACGTTCAGAAGGGACAACTTTACTCACCCTGTTGAATATATTAGATAAAAAAGATCAACTGGTGAAGAGCCTTTCTGGAGGAATGAAGAGAAAGCTATCGCTTGCAATTGCGCTGATTGGTGATCCTGAGGTGAGCAATAAAAAACCGTTGAAATAATTGTTAGCTGATCTTTTAAGAGGACTATACACCCTTCCAACATGTTCACATATGTATGCTCACATGTGTGGAAGAAACTAAGGTTTTTTTTTTGCCAACGTTAATAATTAAAACATTTTTTAGATACTAATATTGGATGAACCAACATCAGGAATGGATCCTGAATCACGAAGAGAAATGTGGGATTTGTTATTGGTAAATTGATTAAAATACTATTAAAATAACTTTTTTTTAGACCACTAAAATGTGAGATCAATTTTTAAGTCATTATTTCTTATAAATTACATTTTGCTGTACACTATTTTAGTGTTTTAATTAATTATTATATTATTTTCTATTTTAAGTCTATAAGAGGGAAGAGGACTATACTAATTACTACACATTTTATGGAAGAAGCCGATGTCCTTGGAGATAGAATTGCTATCATGGATCACGGACAAGTGATTTGCTATGGAACATCGTTATTTTTAAAAAAAGCTTACGGTATATTTACTATATACTTTTTACTTGGAAACATAACTATCAAAAATAATAATTTAAAAACAAATTGTAAAAAAACAGGAACTGGATATCATTTGACCATTATTAAGAATGAATCTTGTGATGTAAACGAAATGACAAACAGTATATTAAAGATTGTCCCAGAAGCAGAACTTCAAAGTTCATTAAGCGCTCAAGTAGTTTACAATTTACCAAGTGAAAACACCGATCAGTTTCCAGACTTATTTAGAATGCTAGAATTAAGAAAAGAAGAATTTGGTATTACTGGAATGGGAGTAGCTTGTACAACAATGGAAGAAGTTTTCTTAAGGTAACTAAGGTTATATATACAAATAAACTCAACTAACAAATAAAATTGTAAAAAACAATAGGAACGTAGCATACCGAGGATGGAGCATATTATGCAAATAACTTGATTATTTATCAAGTTATTTGATAAAATGTTCATCAAATAACATAACTTATGTTAAATTGATCATTCTGTATCTAAATACAGAAGAGGCCTAAACCGAGAGGCTGTGAAATTTTTCCCAATGTATGTTTTATATGTTGTTAAGCATTTTACATTCTTTTTTTATATAAAGATTAAAGTGTTGAAAAAAAAACACTCAAAAACTCATACTAACATGCTTTGACTTGGGTGTCTTGAGAAAACCTCATTAATAACAAGAGCGCGGCAAGTCAAAAAAGTTTGGAAACCACTGTATTAACTATTGAAATATTTTCGAATTGGTATTTGTGTAACCGATAGATAGGCTTTTAAAATTGAATTAATCCATTACAACCCGATTTTGTGTCTTTAAGATTGTTGTTTTTAATTTTGTGTTTGTACAAAACTACAGTATTGTTCTATTTATACAAATATTTAATACAGAAACCTGAAGTTTAAAGTTCTAATATTAATTTAAAAATTAATACAAATATTACTGTTACAATTGATACACACTGTGTATTATATTTTTTCTTGTATTAGAGCTGGAAAAAATATACAAGAAAATATCGATGACGATTCACCCATTCACAGTCCAGTGGGCGCCCCCTCTAATTATCAATTAATTATCACCAAGCAAGTGGATTGTAATATTGATAATGTGACTGCTCTAGTAAAACAATATGTACCAGAGTTTTCGTTGATGGCCAATTTGAGCTTGCAATTAGTTTACAACTTGCCATCAAGGAGTCGCTCTCAGTTTAGTACATTGTTTTCAGGGCTTGAATTTCAAAAAGAAAATTTGAAAATAGAGAGCATTAAAATAACAAATCCGACAACAGGTGACATTTATCCTAAGTGAGTAGTGTATATTATACTTAAATAATTTTACATTTTTATTATTTTAAAACTATTTTTAATGCGAAAACACGGGAATAGAATTAGTAAGTTTCATTCAACAGTATTAGCAAATACTTCAGACAACAACAAAGTTCAGCGGTGAGAATTATTTCCCTATGTAATAATAGCTCTGTTTCTATCACGATTTGAACCTTATATTACTATACTCTGTTCAAACAATAAGAAGCGGGTATGCACACTATTTCAAACTTAGTAAATCAAAAACTGTGAGCCCAGTCGTATAACAAGTGGCTAATTGTCATGCTCCATTAGTAACTGGTTAGTAAAAAGTGTATAATGCTGTTGGTGAACAAATCCAATTTGAGTTGGTTTAAATTTAATTGGAACAGAGTATAGTTATTTGTCACTTTTGCACAGTTTTTGTTATTTCTACATTTTAATACTATTCATTAAGGCTAACCTAACAGACATTGAGCTTGACATTTTATGTGTGAAACTGTATGGGCTGGTTTGTGAGGGTTTGATGCGGGACCCTGCTAAAAATATCAGATAGTCACCCGACTTCCAAGTTGGCAAAATTCGCTCAAGATACTGAAGTTAACTAATAATATGGTTATTATTTAACCTGTTAATATGATGTTGAAGTTTAATTTCTATTTATCATGTTATTTATGAAAGTTTTGTTATGTTTATGCTCATTTTTTGTTTGTTTAGTTCTGCTGGATCTGGAGACTACGGAGATGAACCAAAAGGAGAAACAAACGGAGATGTTAACCAAAGTAATCAAGGTTTTTACAAGTTTTATTTTAATATTTTAATGGCGTTATGCAGAAAGCAATTATCTATCAAATTTATGAAACACGAGAGTTTAGTAGAACAAGATAGACAATTTTAGATTACGTATTTTACAAAATACAACCAAACTAACATTGAAGTGCAGCTCTATCTATCATTGTTTTAAAATTTTATCCAAAAAGTTCATTGTGGGATGGTTGCTTTCTGCATAACGCCATTCATTTATTGGTTAAGTTTTTTAATGTAGTCCAAAAAAATTACTTTTTTTCTCGTCCTAATCTTAACAGTTTTCCTTAGAAAAGAAAGCTCTATCTAGTGTTATTTAGATTTATTTATTTAATTTTTAATAAAATATTAAATTATTTAAAGTTAGAGTTTATTTTAAATTACTATTTGGATGTTTGTTAAAATAAAAATACATTTATATTATTAATAATTTTTATAGTTTTAACTTTAAAAAAACAATTATTAAAAATGATATAATTGATTCCCAGATTTAATATATTTATTTTTCTATGTGTTTTTTTTTAGCATTAATGCCAAAGTATATGACTGGATATAATTTGATGAAAAATCAATTCACAGTACTCTTGACCAAAAAAGCAGTGTACTCTTCTAGAAGATGGTTTTTAACAATTATATTCGTAAGTTTTTTGTATTTTTAAATTTTTTTAAAAAATAAGTTTGTTGTGTTAATCAACAACTAATAATGACCCAAGTTCAAGTAATATAATTATATTTCTCTTTAGGGTTTATTACCAGTGCTTACAACAATATTTACCATGCAATCGACTTACGACTTATTTGAAGCATCAAAGATACAAGAAGGGTTAAATTTGGTATTAAGTGCCTATAAAGATAGCAATGTTTATTACCGTATTGGAGATGACTCGTCTAACAGTTTAGAATCCCGCTTTGCTGATATATCCAAAATGAATCAAGCTACTGTCCACGAAATACCATCTAGTCATAATTTAATTGATGGTAATTTAAATATAAATTTTAAAAGTTGTTAATAATACAAATTGAGGAGGAGGAGTGGCCGAGTGGATAAGGCGGCAGTGTGTTAGTGTTCAATGTTGCTGGTTTGACACTTGGGCGCTCCATTTGCTGGGTGAGCAGTCTTCTGATAAAAAGAAGCCGCTATCTCCCTCTCCGGCAACGGATTGACGACCTATCCCGGATAGCGAATTTGTCAAGAAACCATCTCTTAATGGCAACGTTGGGCTTTCATAGCTTGTTCAGCTAGATGATGATGATATTAATTAAACAAATGTATTTATAATAAATACAATCTTATTTTCACTTGAAACTAAAAAAAGCCAGTATAGTGGGGTCGGGGCATAGTGGGGACGGAGAGGAACACGAAAAAATCGGTTTAGCGGTTTACGAGATATGGGTACAGACACAAAAAAAAAAAAAAACATCATTGTAAAGCAATACCTTCTCAGCTTCCCACCAAAGCTAAAAATTATTTCAATAAATTAAAAAAAAAGTTATTTTAAAATAACAGATTATTTGAAATAGTAAAATAAGATTGTATTTCAAAAAATTATTTTTAGAAATTCTAAATAATAAATTAATTCAATTTTATAAAACAATTAATAATAATGTATTTCAAATAAAAAAAAATAAAAAATTGATGCACTAAGAAAAACTTATTTTAAATAAACTATTATTTTCAAATAGTGTTGCTCCGAGCTTTACTAGTTAAATAACTTTGATTTTTTTTTAAACAGCATGTTCTGAATTTAAAAATATATTCTTTCAAATCAATATGTTTGTTATCATTTATTGAGTTAGTTAAATTATTATTAAATTGTTTTTTATTATATTTTAACAGACATGTTGGAATTGTGTACGAATGATGTATTCAAGTACAGATCACATGTTATGATTGCTGGCGATTTCAACAATACCAACACAACCGTAATGTTCAATAATATAGCGTATCACACACCTGGAATAGCAGTAAATCTTTATACAAATGCTTTGTTACAAAAAGTAACTGGAAATAATGAAATGTCCATTTCAGTGACAAACGATCCAATTCAAATAACAGACAACGTAAGTCTTAAAACTAAATTAACCATACTTGTATATTATTTATTTATTTTCATCTATTTATAGAGTGTCTGTGGAAATAATTTTCAAATGCAAATAGTACTGGTGTGGCTTACTATGTTTTCGCCCGGTATGCTTTATTTCATAAGTTATTACATTGCAATGCCTTTAAACGAGCGAGTGAGCGGCTTCAAACACTTACAAATGATGACGAAACTGTCCCCTGTTATGTACTGGTGTGTTTGTTTCATATGGGATTATATTTGTTACTTGGTCGTTATCGTTATAACTATGATAACCATGTACTCCTACGATCATTACCGAATCTTTACCGGTCCAGACGAGCTCTGTAAGTTGCCACATTGTTTGTCCTTAATATAATAAATTATATTCCAAAATAATGTTTTAGGGACCCTCTTGGTATTGTTCATTGCGTACGGGTGGAGCTCGATATTTTATGCATATTCTTTTAGTTTCTTCAAAAAGTCATTACTTTCTTCTATATCATTGTTCATAGCGGTGAACTTTATATTGGGTAAGTTTCTATTTCATTTTTATTTTTGCAGTGGCGAAGCATATTAGAAGGCAATGAGACGATGTCTGGCCACTTGTTAGGCCTCATGCCTCGCCACTTTGGTACGACATAAAGATTATGTTAAAACGTTCTATTTTACAGGTTTGATAATCAACAATATTTTATACCTGGTAAAAGCCATCCTAGTGAAACCAGATAATGAGGTAACTTGGTTTCATATAGTGAGATACATTGTTTTGTTGGTTCCTCATTTTTCATATTCCTCTTGCATTGTGGGTTTTGTTACGATATCGTGGGAAAACAATCGGTGTAAAATATGCAAAACGCCCGACATGGAAGAAGCGTGTAGTGGTAATTCTTTAAAACGCAATTTTTATAAAAAGTCAGTTTTTAAGATTTAAATTTTTTTTGATTTTTAGGTTCTGCAGATTTTAAGCCCAAGAAATATTTTGAATTTGCTTCAACCGAAAATCCAGATGGCATATTGAGCGAGCTATTATTTTTAATATTCAGCAGTTTGATCTACTATTTTTTTATACTATTGATGGACTATAAAGTATTTGCTCGTATGTATCAATTTATATTTAACACTATTGTCGGTTCTGGAGTGAGTTACAAAGACGATGACGAAGATCCTGATGTTGGTGGCGAAAGAGATAAAGTAGACGCTGCTAAAGTCCGTACAAGTAAGCAAAACTGTGTTTGAAATGGATCTAAATTTTTTGTATTAACAAGTATATAAATATTATACTTAGACGACGATGCAGAGTCACCATTATTGGTTGTGGACGGTGTGATTAAAAAGTTCAGTTTTAAATTCACCGGCGTTCGGGGCATTAGTTTTACCGTTTCCCCCGGTGAGTGCTTTGGTTTACTCGGAGTAAACGGTGCGGGTAAGACAACTACTTTCAGAGTTTTAACTGGTGATACATTCCCGTCAAATGGCGATGCCGCTATTCAAACAGATAGAGTTTATAAACTTAGTTCGTCATTCCGACAGGTAATATATATATTTTTTTAAATAATTATACAACCATTAGAAAAATGATAACATGTTTTTATTTAGTATATGTCGATGATTGGTTATTGTCCACAATTTGATGCACTCAACGATCAACTTACTGCCAAAGAAACATTGAGATTAATGGCTATCTTAAGAGGAATTTCGCCGAATAATGCTAAGAAGCACGTAGACAAATGGATTAAGGATTTAGGTAACTAAAATATGCATAACAATTTGTAAGCACGTTTAAATAAAAATGATTTTAAATATATAAGCCATATCAAAAATTAATAATGTAAATTACACTGTTTAACTCAACTTAATAATTTGTTATTATTTCTTTTTATGTATATTTACATTAAAAAAAAAAAATATATATATATATATATATGTATATCGTTGTTGAAACTGCAACAACACGTATCTCAATTCCAAGTCTTTTCAGGAGAAGCAAAATAAGTTATTTAAATGAATAGGTTTTGATATAAGCTTTGTTATCATTTTTATGATTTACAGTGCAACTTATAAGTCTGATAAAAAAACATTATTAACAAAATATTTTCGGCGGCACGTGATTTATCAATATTGGTAATAATCTCATTTGGCCAAATTTTGAGATATGCGCTGTTGCAGTATCAGAGACGATATATATATATATATATATAAATTTAATCATAAACATTATAATTTGTATTGTATAAATAATTTTTTTTTTGTAGGTCTGGAAGAATATAAAAACAGACTTTGCGGTACATACAGTGGTGGTAACAAGAGAAAACTGAATACTGCTATAGCTCTAATAGGAGATCCACCAGTCGTATTCTTAGACGAACCAACAAGTGGCGTGGATCCTGTAGCAAGACGTAATTTATGGCAACTTTTGGCCGTGAGTCAAAGGGCTGGTCAAGCAGTCGTGCTTACGTCTCATAGGTAAAATTCATGAATGTTTTATTGAAAAATTTCGGCTCTTTAATCCTATAGTTTTTTTTCTTAGTATGGACGAATGTGAAGCCCTGTGTAACCGTTTGACAATAATGGTAGACGGTGTGATGAAGTGTATCGGTAATATTCAGTATTTGAAGAATCGCTATGGTCAAGGATTTACAGTTATAATAAAACTAATCGATAGTAGTGATAACAATTTGAGTGAACTCAAATCAGATATTGAACGACAGTTTGCTCCAGATATTCATTTGAAAGATGAACATAAGGTTGAAAATTATAAAAAAAAAATTGTACTTATCAATAAAATGTATATAATTTTTATTCTATTTTAGGGATTACTGAATTATCACATAACCAATCCGAGAGTACCGTTGTCCGATATATTCGGTCATATGAAAGCAATCAAAGAAAATCATATGATCGTCGAAGACTATACTATTAGCGATACAACTCTTGAACAAGTTTTTATAGCGTTTGCAAAAAAACAAGCTATTATAAACACAGATGCATAAATAGAAATGATATTGTGATGTTTTTTTTCCTTAAAAAGTATTTATTTGTGTGTTATAATATTTATTAAAACAATTAGTTCCTTAGCTTATTATTATTTCATTATTTTAGAGACCAATTATTTATTACCAACTTACCAAATATTTGAATTATTCTGTTTAAAGAAAATTATGTACTGTAAAGATATTTATACTGTATTTTTTTAAATTAATTTTTTACTATCCATAGGAATGCGTTAGAAGTTTCTACTTTATTTTATTATTTCTATATTTTTTACTATATAACTTAAATGAAACAAACCATTGGCGGTTAGTTGGATGATTGAACAGTGTTACATATGATTACGTACTTACTTTAATTTGATTATATTATTATAATTTAATACAAACTATGATAATATTATACAATTTTTTATTATTTGTGTTAGTCATAACAGTGAATTGAAGTTTAGATTCGGTGCTTAATAATTACTATACTGATATTTTATTGTTTCTAACAAGGTATTAAATAATATAAAAAAAAAAAATGACATTCTATTCAATAATAATGTTTTTTTCTTTTTTTAATAGCTAACTACTATTAACATTGGAGTTAAGAAAATTTTCATTTTTTGTTCTTATACTACGTACTAGGCCCTCAATACTGAATCCTATAGTACGATAATTTCTCAAGAGATCCGTTTAAACAGTTAAAGAAAAGAAACTGAATTGTTAGCCCCGATATGGACAGAAATTGATTTGATCAATACATTTTATTAACGGTAACTATTCAGTAAGTTAACATAGTAGATATTTAATGTTTAAAGCTTATGTAAATAGATAGATTAAAATTGTTAAATATTATTTCATGACAATTCACAAATTTTGTTTTTCAGTTATAACGAACGAATCAATCGTTTTCTGAGAGTTTTCTTGCGATATAAGGGTACACGACCGTATGAGCATTGTTGCCGAGTATGAACGCTTGATGGCTGAACGGTATTTTGTGAATATAATAGGAGTCCTTAATATTCGGCATTTTGTCAAACAGCCATTTAACATCCTGAAAAATGTACATTGCCCGTGTATGGTCAAATAAACATGTTTAGACATCAAGTAATAGTAGAATTACCGAAGGAGGTGTGACGAGATCAGTTTTTGAGTATATCAGAATCGTCGGCGCCGTTATTTTGCTTACATTATATTCTGGAACCACTTGGGATTTATAATGCTTCACATTTTCGTCCGGCCCGTAGTCGAAGTTACAAAATCGACCTAAAATTAAAAACACATACATTTTTAGCTTCGATACACAACTGGGAATGGTTTTAAGATTCGATTTTGATTTTAAAGCTAATAACTCGAGCGGGATTTATTTAAAATTAAGTATCGACCCGTCGATACTTTCATAATATCACTCTGATTTTAATAAACAAACTTGTATGCTGCCATTTGATTTTGAAAAGCCACCCCTCCAAAATTTACCCATTCGACAATCACAAATTATATACTTAACTTTATTGGTAAATATATTGCCGAGTGAGGTATGTATAATATTTTAAAGCCAACTATTTAGTAAAAAAAAAATCCAAGGTATAAGTACAAGGTTATAGGTACAATACCATCTCTACAGTAAAAAAAAAATCATTATAAAAGGTAAATTTTGTTTACTGTCATTAATAAATAATATTACAAAATATTTCGACTATGCATTTAATATACCTAATATAGGTACTATAGGGGTAGGCAACAAACGAATTTTGGAATTTAAATACCTACCAACATTTTTTCGACTTACCAGACATCATTAATTGAATATAGTGTATCATCGCCTTAGTAGAAGATGGTTGTGGATAAGTAGTTGCAAGATCTGCGACGACATCCTGCAAAGAAAATATGTTAACGTAGGTAATGCAGTTATAGTTATGTATTTTATGTATATAAAATATTAGTTCATTTATTAATTAGTGTACTAACGAGTAACGAGTGTGTTTTAGTCATGTAACTGCTAAGACCTTATCCCTGGATAGATTTATACTCCCTCCTCCCCAAAGTACTGTATTATAAATTATAATTCACTGTATGCTATTTTATAATTTAAATAAACTTAAGTAAAATAATGAAAAATTGTAATGTTTTTTTAGGAAAAAAAAAATGTTGTTTACCATAAACTATATATTTTGTTTTTGAGGTACACGTGGGTTACATGCCAAAAGGTTTTTTCAAAATTTGTGTTTTTATAGTAAATACCTACTGTTTTTTTTTATCGCACTTAGTTTTCAAGCTATACCTACCCTAAAAACCACATAAAATGTCCAAAAATAAAATATCCGTTTTAAAAATGTAAAGTTGAAAAATTTCGAAAACTGTGTTAAAATCTCTATTTTGCCAATGTTGGACTTGACAGGTTGGCCCACTGAAGAATTAAGTATTGGTCTATGCTCAATTTCCTAGAAGAATCTTTCTATAGATAAGTTTACATACGTATACTTACATATAAGTATATGTTCTAGACGTTTTTAGAGAAACAGTAACACCCCCCCCCCTTCGAATAAGGGTTTTTTAAAAAATATATCTGCAGTATTATACAAAAATATTAAGCACTTGATATTAACTGAAAATAATATACCTATGTTACTACACTTACGTATTTGAACGGAGTAAAAACACCTTGCAAAAGAGTCATGGCGTGTACACACTGATATCGGAATAAGATAGTTCTGCACAAATATCCTAGTAGTTGTTTATCTGGGTTTTGAAAAACGTTAATATATCGAAATTTACTTAATGCAGTCTGAAAAAAAAAATATACAATTTATATAATGTAGAAAACACCTTGCAATAAACGTTGTATTTTTTTGTTACAAGAATTAGCACATTGAGCTACTCTTTAAATCATAAAAAAAAAAACATTTTGTAATATTTTTAGCTTGTTCTGTAAAATATTGTAAATACTATTTGTTTAAAATAAATATTAGGTATATGTAAGTATTAGGTTTATGTAGGACAAAAAAAGTCTGTACCTTTCATAAATATATATATATATATAAGGGTGTACCAAAAAAATTTTTTTCAAGTATAAATATCAATTTTAAACAAATGTTGCTTGTGTACAAAATTATCATTAGAAAAAGAGGAATAAACCAGTATTTTTTTTTTTTACAAAAAAAACTACTATCCAACTAATTTAGGCCTTAGAAAGTAAAATTTGCGAAAACATTGATATACATACTCTTAATAGTACCCTAAAATATTTTTTTTAGGAAACTGATGCTCGCAACCTCTAAAAATAATTTTAAAAATCTGAAAAAAATAGGGAAATATTATTTTATCCCAAGGAACATAATGTCAAGAGAAGAAGAAAAAAAAATTTTTTGGTACACCCTAATATATATATACCTCATCAATATGTATTAATACTTACTATCACCATAGGTGCGTACAGTTTAGCTAACACATACTGCAGGGGTCTAATTTTGAGAGAGTTTTTCATTTTGGCAGCAGGTCCCATCATTACAAGGTTTCGAATTTTGTTGTTGTACTCTGGTTTTTCTGAAAGCCCGATAAGTGAAATAGTAGTCCCCAATGAAATACCCACTACGTCTACTTTATCACGTCCAGTTTCCTTTAGTACTAAGTCAATGGCTGCAGGAAAGTCGTATATGCCCAGTTCGTGGAAACTTGAATAAAAATCATACTTAAATATTTATATTAATTTATTTTAAATGATTCCAGTGTTATGTAAAAAGATCCTAATAAGCGTAAAAACATGATTTTTAGGGGTTTCCAAAATCACTTGTTATGTATCTAATTATCAAAAAAAAAAAAATTAACAACCTATACTTTGCAATTGAGGGATGACACCGTTTTTATTGCGTTGTATAGGTCGACAGCAACAAATGACAATTATATATTGTAATGATATCATTTTTTAAAAATAAAAAATATTTTGATTTTGTTGGACATTAAAAAACATTAACGAGTTTCTACTTAAGAATGATGTATTGAATTAAAATACATGTAATAGGTACGTTGTCTTTGTGACATGACGTGTAAGAGACATAAAGCCTCGTCCCAAACTTATATCTGTAATTATTATTAACTAATATGACCGAATCGATGGATTTAGGATTTTAAACTTTCGTGAAAACAAATATAGTGAACAAATGCCCAAAGTACATATGTTGAGAAATATTTTCAAACAAATGTCAATAGGTATAAGTTAGTAGGTAAGGTTGAAAAAACAATCAAATTATCAAAATCAATTTCTTTTAAATAATAATTTTTCGATTGTCATATTTTAAAAATATAGTATGAAAACAATTTTTACTGTAACTTACATTGAAAACAATTATTAAACACCGCCCTATTCAGTTTGTGTGGTCCAATGAAAGCTGATCAATATTGCAGAGCATAGATCTACGGGGATAAGCCCCCCCCCCCCGAAGCCTCCCAATTCCATGTCAATAGATTTAGCTTTAAGCCACCTCCCCTCAACAATTCCGTTAAAAATTCACAAACAATTACATGTTTCGTGTTTGGATATGCTAATAAGTTTTAATATTAATTTTTGCTTATGTTAAGTAAATTCTCACCTGTAGTTCCAATTCATTTTCGACAGTTTAAGAATTTTTCCAGTTTGTGGATCTTTAACTTTTAGTGACAGACCATTAGCCCTATAATTTGGTAGCCAAACATCATAACCAGCGTCAGCCAAAAAAAATGCTGAAAATGGTTAAATCATCATTAATACGATATACCTACTTTATGGCTATTAATTATTGTCAAATAACAAATACATTGAGCCTTTATAATTAAAAAAAAAAAAACAGTTATCTTTGAATTAAATTTATTCTTTTTTGATTTTTGAAAATCTTTGCAGTGTTTTATTGTAATAGTCTTTATTAAAAAGTATTTCTAACCTATAGGGCACGAGATGAAGTGTATTATAATAGTTTATTGACGGCTAGGTTAACCCATTTTTATGCTCCGGGTGGTTAAGCTGTCAATTGGGTAGTAAATATATTGAAATATGCTACTTTAGATGGCTTAGGAATAAAACACGTCTCGGGAATAAGTTTGATAAACAATCGGTTGTTGTTCTAAACGTTTGTTTAAATTTCTAATATTCACTTTGTTGCGTGTTTAATTAGGTATAGGTATAGGACATATTCTATATGTATGTAAATTACATGTATTAGACCCTAAAGAGTATAAAAACTGGATTTTTAAGAGTTTCCAAAATTACTTAATTAAATAATTGTCAAAATAAAAATAACCTATACTTTACTATTTCATGAAAAATTCTCAAACAAATTAAGAGGTGACATCATTTTTATTGAATTATGATGAATAATTAGTAAAAATTATGTGAGTAGGATGTGACATATCATTTTGTATGAGAATTTACGGCAAGTTTGACGGTACTAATATTTGTTTTTGCCCAAACTTTTTGACCAACTTTTCCCCAAAATTATTATCTCAAAAAAAAAAAAAAACAAGCAACAAGTAATTATTTTTGAAATAATTCATCTTTGTAATTCCCTCGACAATAAATTTATCTTTTATAACATCAAAAATTAAGAAATCTGAAATACCTAAAAAAAAAATTAAAATTCTTACATTCTACAGTCTAACATTGAACTGACATAACTATAGGATAGTATCCCCCCCCCTCGTATTAAATACTTATTCATTTATTAAGTTTTACGGTTAAAAACATACCAAGTGAAGTGTTTTTGTATACAAACGTGATTGAGCTAGCCAGCACTCCGGGCAATAGAATGACAGGCTTGCCGATTGTTCCGTTACTCCGTTTTCCGTAAGGTATCCTTTCCATGCCTACCAAGGCGTTATCCTCAGTTTTATAGTGATACGTTTTAATAGGGTATCCATAAGTCTTAGCTTTATCGCTCTATAAAATATATTTATATTAGTCTGGTAGACAGGCAAATGTAATACACACATAAAACAAATGTATAGGTCAAATTCTATTTGAAAATTGAGTTTAGATTGGTGCAAATGGCGGTTATGTACGGCACGTATATTAGGATGATCCTTTTATCGATTTTTTATGTTGGAACACTGTAAGTGGGTTAAACAAGTAAAAACAAATATTCGAATTTTTGTAGATTTTTATTTGAATACATTTTTTTTTTGTTTGTTCGAGCAAGAAGTTTGGCAAAAATGTAGTTGTGATCCTAAGAAATCCCCCCTCCCCCCAATTATACTTGTTGATGATAAAAGCGCGACGGCAAAAGGCAAACCTTCATTTACCTAATGTATTTTTAAGAATTCGTAAATATATGTACTTGTTTATAATTTATTTTCAAAAAAAAAAATATATATATACGTATGTAACAGAAAATACATAATATCAATTCATAAATTGAACTTTAAAATTATAAGAAAAAAAATATATTTTTATATGAATATATTTTTTTAAATGCAATCGTACAGACCTGGTCGAACAGGGGGACGACTGAATTTAAATTAAAACCCAAACAAATTAGAGTATTTAGTTTTCCTTATTTAGAACCTGTTTGCAGAGATCCAGCTTAAATTCAAGTATAACGACCGCCCTAATGTGAATTCTTAATAATTGTACTTACGGTAGTTAGGGATGAAACCGAATGTTGTGCGCCGATGAAAACCGTAAAAATCAATAAATAACGAATCATATTATCGATCTAAGTTGTTGTTAAAATAAATTTTAAGTGTAAATTGTAAATTATAATTACACTGAAACTGTATCTAAATGTTTTATTTTAAATTTTAATAAACATATTTGGCGCTTTTTTATAAGCTTGTGATACCAAATTTAGCTTAGCAAGTATACAAATAACAATATAAATTCTGCACGTATACGGATATTGTGCGTTTTTTCATCAGAAAATACTACTTACAATTGTTTTTTTAGTCAAGTAGACTGTAGATCTTAAAAGTACTATTTATAATATGTATACATGCAAGCCGACGTCGTTTCTATGGTTGATAAGTAATTGTCAAAACGAGCGTTTATAAATTGATTATTATTATTATTATTATTCTTTTTTTTTAATTCAAAATATTGATTTAAAAGCTTCAAGAACAGTCTCACATGCGTACAATAATAATTGAAGAACATTCATGGGACATTATATCTAATTATAGGCCGCTTAATTTATAACACCGTAGCTAAAATTATTATCTATTGTTTAATGACACAAGCCACCTATAAATCATTCGGCCCCTATTCCAAGAGTACAAACATATACATTATTGATGTACTCGTAAGTCGTGTTCCGTGGATAGACATTGAAATATTGCAACAAAACATTATGTGTGGTATGCCGCAGTTTATGTCCATTTGTGTAATTACACCTCAGCGGTGCCTGTTGTAACAAATAAATAAATATTACTTACAAAACAAACTGAAATTTTTTTCACAAAAAAATAATTAATTTTAGAGTTACCCACACCATTATAATATTACAATCTGAGGCCAAATATTTTTGTTATGCAACTATTAAGAAGTAGGTAAACCGACATTAAAACAATTATTCAACAATATTGTTTACGTCACGCATTATATTGCAGTTTATAGTATTATTTATACATTTATAGGTAGATATCAATTAGGTAGGTACCTAATTGATGTCGTGTAATAATTAAAAAATTGTTAATTTTTAATAGGTATATAACGACCGGCGCCATACACATTAATAATATTTTATTGGTGTCTTCATAGTCCTTGGTTTTATATGTATTTTGTCTTCTGGCATTGAAATGTCATTGGTACTTTACGCATATTATAAAGACAAATGCTCACTGTGTATACTTCAAGCGCACATAATGTTATGTGGGATATTCTTTGCCAAATTCATCATATTTTGACTTTGACATTTTAGATGTATCTGAATTTTTTTTACATCAATTGTTAGTACACATCAACTTAGGTTTTTTGGATTTTCATCTCAAAACATGAAAATTGTTTGTTTGTTGTAGAATTGATAACAATTTTTAAAAAAATGAGTTATGAGCCACAAAGCTAAGAAAACATGAATCATAAAAAAAAGTTCAAAATATTAATTATTTTATAAGAAAAAGCTTTTTTTAATCAAAATTATGGAAATAATACAATTTGTTTAATACATAAACTATATTATGTTCGTCATTAGTGTCTCATTACTCATTTTTTTTGTTGATAAAACTTGTCTGTTACATACATCTATTGAATATGGCTGAAATATTGTTAATACTTCTGTAAAAGTTCTTTATTGTTTTTATACATGAGGCAAGCGTATATTAACTATTTATAAAACCAACGAATATATGATATTTAAAATTTAAATAAGTACAAAATGTTTTATTGTTACTTAGCAGTTAAATATTCACACAAATATTAAATACATTTATATAGTTGCATCAGGGTCTTGAAAAATTTTTTTTTTTGGGGGACAGAGGGTTTATAAGAGTTTTTGTATTACTGGACAATATAATAAATGAATAATAGGTATATTTATAATATACCACGACGTCAACACTTTTTGCACAGTTTATTTGATACCTAATTAACAGGTTAACCTGTTATACATAGTCTCTATACCTAGGTATTTTAAGTTGGTAGGGTAGGTGAAATATTTGTAGGGTCCCCGAGTTTGAATTTAATATCAGTTTTATTACAATTATTCTTGGGGGTAGAAGTTGTAGTTATTTATGTTTCAAAAAATAGAATTTTTTTTTTTGAAAAGTTATACGAATTATTTACAAAAACAGTATTAAAAAATGATAATTTTCCTAGGAGATATTATAAAGGTAAAATTATCTTGAGGCACCTAACATTGTATTTTACCATTAGTTTTATGCATTAATGGGACTATGCTGCCTACAAGAAGTACAAAACGAGATCAGTATTTGAGCCCTTCAAAAGCAAAGTGGTGTAGGTATGTCAATTTTTGTTTGAATTTTGTGATTAATGATTTAAATCAATTCAAATAATATATTATATGTTAAAATCACAAATTTCAACAAATTCATAATAATAACATACACCACTTTGCTTTAGAATAGCCCATAATATGTTAAAAGAACCCAAAATTTTTAGAAATTATTTTTGGGTAACATTTTTTTCAAAACGTTTAAAAGTAGTAGTAGAATTTGAAAGTAATCAGGAAATTTTAGGGCCCCGAAATTAGTAGCACCGGCACTGACCATAATATACCTTATTCAAATATTTTCAACGGAATTTTTTCAACACTTAAAAATATGTTACAAACAGTTTTTGGTCACAAATAATGTTTTTAAAAATGTACTTACAAATGTTTAAAAGTATTACTAAAATTTTCGAAATATTCCTTCAATTACTCAAATCTACAAAATTAACAGATAGGTGGGCACTTAATTTTATTTTATCACTCTCTGATGTCAAGCCAATATGGCAATTTAATGATTGTTTGAAAATTTAGCATTCTATGGCTAATGCATTATTATATCACATTATCGGTGTAACATTAACTAAATGAATAATGATCATTGCTCTGACTTAAGAGGTACATGAGTCATAAGTCATTACACCATTGTATAGCATTCATCATTCATGTCTCATGATGACATGGTAGGTACCTACGGCATATTAAATGATAATGGTTGGAATTACAAATAATATTAAATTTATTATGTTTATAATTGTTGCCAATAATATTATTTTTCAGTAATATTCGAATTCTAATATCTACTGTATTTATTGTCGCTATTATAGAAAACTGTTTTTAAATGTAAAATTAAAACAAAGAGTAAAACAAAAATGTAATATGTGGCTAGAGTAAACACTGTTGAATCGAATAATGATAACATTTTTGATAAGCCGAGAATTTTTGTATCAATGTATTAAAATAATAATACTAAAATTACTAAATACATTTCACTGTGTTGCATAGTACACAGTGGTATAATTAGTTCATTTATTTGAATTTTGAAATCGCTTTTTAATATTAATATATAATTTATATTAGGTTATTCAACAATTTTATTAATATGGTAAGTATTTAATTACAATCTGTAAACGTTACACTAGTTTTACATGATAATTTGTACTAGTTTTTTTTAAAAATAATAATATATTCAGTTCAATAAGACCAAATTTAATTAGACTTTATTTTTTTAAAGTCTGACATCCAAATGGATTGTGCACTTGACCTGATGCGGCGTCTGCCACCGCAAAAAATTGAAAAGCATTTGAGTGATCTTATCGACCTAGTTCCAAGTTTGTGTGAAGATTTGTTGTCGTCAGTTGATCAGCCGTTGAAAATCATAAGAGATAAACAAGTCGGAAAAGACTTTTTGTTATGTGACTACAATAGAGATGGTGATTCATATAGGTATGTAGTTTTTTAATGAATATAAAATAATGTTTTCTTATGTTAAGTTGTCTAAATTATTTTTCTTTGTCCTAATATTATTTCAGATCACCATGGAGTAATACGTATTTCCCACCTTTGGACGACGGTGCTGTACCTACGGAAAAATTACGCAAGCTTGAAGTAGATGCTAATATGGCATTTGATCAATACAGAGAAATGTATTTTGAAGGTGGCGTGTCTTCAGTATATTTATGGGACTTGGATCATGGTTTTGCAGGTTATAACTGTTATTTTTATTTATTTATTTTATTGTAATATACCCTCGAAGAGTAAAATAAAAGGTTAACTATATTATTTAATCATTTATAAACAACAACTATAAAATGTTTTTGCAAAGTACATAAGTCAGGACAGCTGTCTATATATCCGTAAGGAAATAGTAATGCCTACTAGTTGGATGGCTTATTTAGATTTTCCCAGCTAGCCGGTTCGCTCATATGGTGATCATCCCTCAACAGTTTTTTACCGAGAAGGTTTACGGAAAACGATTGTTTGAAAGTTAAAAAGACATTTTATAATGCTTGGCATGTCACATTTTTTGGTACTAATGACATTTTAAGTTTTTTGAAAGGTATTTGATTTATAAATATTCTTAATGATATTTACATATTGACAAATTTTACTTAAAATGGTAAAATTTAATTTAATTTTGGATAATTTGAAAATGTAATATTACATACAAAATTTATAATAAAATAAACAAGTACTTAATTTTTTGCTAATTTTTGTTGTAGCTATAATGTATACTTGTTCATTTAGTTTTCGCTACCTAGTTTGGCTATTGCCTTTTTTGACCGGATACCATCTAAAGCCTTTAAGTGTTCCCAATTTCCATCGATGAGTGGTTTTCTTAATTCTTATGAAATGACAAACATATTCTATCTAAGGCCTCGCTTCCCTGAGAGACAATCTAAGGTATCAGTCAAATACCTTTCTCTCCTGTACCTGTATCGGTTAAATTCAAACCAAGTATACAATATTTCAGTGTACAAGTATACATCGTAGTAAAGTGACATTTTAATTTTTAGGTGTCATTTTGATAAAAAAAGTTGGAGACGGTTCAAAGAAAGTGCGCGGCACTTGGGATTCCATACACGTTGTTGAAGTCCAAGAGAAACCCAGTGGACGTAACGCACATTACAAGCTCACCTCAACTGTAATGCTGTGGTTGCAAACCAACAAAGCCGTGTCAGGTAGCATGAGTTTGGCGGGAAGTTTAACTCGACAAACTGAAATGGACAATCCCACGTCTGATGCTTCACCTCACATCGCTAATATTGGGCGAATGGTCGAAGACATGGAAAATAAAATGAGGAATACATTAAACGAAGTTTACTTTGGGAAGACCTGTGATATTATGAATGGTCTTCGAAGTGTCGTACCACTAAATGCCGATGATGAAAACAAAGAAGCACTTCGTCAAGATTTGACTGCTGCTTTACAAAAACGGCATAACAAGTCTGACGCTAAAGACCCTATCAGTCCAGCTACTAATTAATGTTTACTTAAATGTAGATCTACTCATTATATATCGATTTTGCTGGCTTCAATTTGTATAAACCTCATCAAATGCAGTCTAATTATATTATATTATAGTAACGTTTGTTACTTTTTGATTCATTTTTATAAATTTTTTTTTTTATACTAATATGTTAAATGTCTTGTTAATAATAGTATTACTGGTTCTGGTATCTTTAATAATTTTTTTTTTTTAATATAGTTGGCATATTTTTAAATTAAAATGTATTTGAAGTTCATTTGCATGTCAATTTGTTTATAAGGTGATATTTCTCAAGAGCCTTAAAATAATTACAATAGTCTAAAAATACTATTAAATAATAATCAAATTTAGCTTAACTTAAATGTTAGGTTATTGTGGACTTAAATTGTTATACATTAGTTAATTCTTCCAACAAATTAACATTTAAACCAACAAAATATAAATCATTGTATTGTATTAGTAATTTATACATTTTATAGGTGTTTTTTTCAAGTGAACGTTATATTTATTATTATAGCACATTTAATAATAACATATTTATTAGGTTATAATTTATTTTATGAGATTAGATCAATAACATTTATTGTAAAAAAAGTAATGAATTATAAGTTATGAGAATTGAAACTAAATTTAACTTAAATATTTTTATTTATTATTATATTATATTATTTTTAAATAATAATTAAAATAAGGCTCATGATCTACAATGGTTTAATCTATAATGTATAACATAATATTAAATGTATTTAATATTTATATACTAATTAAAATAAACTATAAATGTTTAAGATACGTTTAAAGTAATGTTTATGTTTACTTACATTTTATTGTGTTATTTTTATTTTAAATACTAAATAAATTCGAAAACAAAATGTTTATCACAAAGTTATGATAAAAAACAATGAACCTTCTGTTTAAATATTTTTCATTTGATTATTACTGAATTGATTTTGTTTATCAAAAATTGCCAAACCACTAAAACATACAGTTTTAATTTGCCTTATAAACATTTTATTTTGGGTGTTTATTTTTAAGTGGCTTCATGATAACAATTCTAAAATTTTACTTAAATTTTGTTTTCTACATAATGGTGAGGTCAGATTTACTCTATTACCAATTTTGTATTTCAGATATAATTTAGAACCTAATCTAACATAATGTGAGTATCATGTTGTATTCATATGTTTTTATTGTATTAAAACGGAAATGGAGTCTGATACTCTGATATTTGGCCATGATTGCGACGAGTAATATTCAATACATTCTATTGATAAAGGTAAGTAAATTTACTTTCATTCAAATGAAATAGGTATCTGTACATTTTATTCTTATTGTTTTTTTTTGTGTATTTATAAAAATAAATATGGTCTAAAGTTGTGTTATTTAAAACATTGTAATTTACACTATTAACCCAACTGACATAATGAAGCCATAGAATTGCTAGTAATTATAATTATTATTTTTTTTAAATTATTAAACATCCAACACGCTACATTATTTATAATGATGTCTGTGCTGCTTTCAGATTTTTAATTAATTTATGTTGAACAGTAACACGGAAAAGACTTTAGATCTTATGTTTATGCTTGCTTTGACATCTCGATTTCTATTTATTTAAGTAAAAATGCTAAGTACGTAAATATTTAAAAAATTAAATACTCTAATTTGTTTTTAAATTGTCGGTTTACACAAGTTAGATTTGGATTATTCCACTTAAAATTAACACGCAATTAAATAAACGGAGAAATAAAAAAGAAAGCAAATAACGGAAAAGTATGAAAAATTGTTGCAAGCTAATCTTCGGATTGAAAGCAATAGATAGTGAGTCAATTAATTGTTAGTACAAAAGTAAAATTTGATATTTAAGATCGGTAGTTTTTTATTCTGGATTTGTTGAAATCAGAACAGCAGATAAGGTATCCGTCTGGAATATATTTTCTCGCCTCGAAAAGCCATTTTTTAAACTGATTACTATAGCGTGTCGATGTATAATATAAATTGTTTTACAATATTTCTTTTTATATTATATTATTATTTTTTGCAGATGGGGAAAAAAGGTAATTTATAAAATAAATGTTGAGATGTATAAATGATTGAATGTGGCTCGTTCTGTAGTATCAGTAAGATTTCAAAATGGTTTCAACACATACAATTGTTATTAAAACAATAATTTGTACAGCACAGAAAACTACTGAATATCTATAGAATTTTGATTTTTATTGCCTTGAAATTTATTTAAAAACAAAGAGATCAACGTAATAACTTGGATCAAAATTCTTATTGGAAGTTTATTAAATACATGTAAATATATGACATTATGAATTTTCAAACACCGCCCCTGTAAAATAAAATAAAAAAAATAATTTGTGACTCAAGCCCATGGTTACTCGCTTTATAGTTTTCCCTGGTTTTCGCGTTACTTATACACGTATTTTGTATCGGATTAAAAAGTTATGTATTAAATATGATGGTATTTAATACTTAGGTAAAACCTGTATTAATATTATTTTACTGATTTATATTGGTATAGTTATACAGAGGTGGATGTCAACCTGATTTTTAAGTGTTAATAATCCCTACTTCATAAAAAAAAGTGACACTAAAGCAATGTAGGTATTACAACTTACACAACTCATAAATGCTTATAGTTAAAAAAAAAATGAAATAATCCAAAATCATTGAAAATAGTTTAGATTTTTTATCACGCTATTACTTAGTGAGTTCTTTAAATGCATAAATTAAATGTAGGTATATATACTAGCTGTCAGATTAGGATTTTTATTCTCTTCGTCTTATACACCGGTAGTCAGTAGGTACTACTATCGTTTAGCTGTTATGAATAATAATAATAATAATAATACAAATAATAATAAAATGTATTTTAATGCGATTATATATTGTTCAAACTTTTAGGTAGCCAGGTTTTTACCTTATAGACAGTAGTTCAAATACAATATAAAAATATTGTAAATTATCATATGTTTGCTGTTTAAATAAATAAATAATAAATATAATCAGCTAACAAAAAAAAAATATATTTGACAAAACATAATATCTAATATTAAATGTATTATGAGTACATGGAAAAATAAATTATATAATTTAGAATATGGATTAATTGTAGTGTAGTTTTTCCGAAGTAAATGATTTTACAAAAACTATAGGAAGTATTATCCTAAAACGTATTTCTGAGATTTGTAAAGACATTTGAAAAATATATATCGATAAAGTTTTACTGTGATTAAAAAAATATATACTTATTACTGATTATATCAACGAATGCAATATTTTCAGTTATTAACAGTAACAACTACACGCCTATTTAGAGATATTGTTTATGCGTTAAGTACTTTCCATATTATACTGAATAGGTAGATAAATTAAAAAAGTGTAAGAAAAATAAATGATTACACACTATATCAGTTTTGTTATTATTGAGAATAAGTGAAGTTCGAGGTTGGCTCACAGGATTAATTTTAACATTTGAATTATTAATATTAAAGAACAGTGTAATTTAAACAACAACATTAAGCTGAAGGTTAATACCAACAGCACTAATAATTGTATATGAAAATATGTTATGTTTATACCGCCCCCGTTTTCTCATTATCGTCTACATAATAATAAATTCATAATAATACATACATATGTACGGTTTTGTAACGGTGGCAATCGTGTGGTTTGATTGTGATGTAACTATAATTGCGTTAGCAGATAAATCGTTAGCAGGCAATCAGGATTTATGTAAATAAAAATAATATATATATAAAAAGAAAATACAAAAGAAATAAATGGGAAAACAATTAAGATGAGCATATGTGAGTATGTACGATCGAAATAGCTCAGAGGCTTGTTTGTTCAACAGTAATATATATAAGTGGTACTTTCTCCATTATCGTATCCATTAACCCTGGGGACATTTCAGGATTCTTATTTATTTTCCCCCCGTTTCTTTCGCGTTTTGTTGTTATTGTTCTTATACTGATGTCACCAGTGGGGTAATATCGTCCATGTGACGTATGCATTCAAATAGGAATCGTACGACGGTGTGCACATTTTCTCACAACGTTACAAGCCTTGGTATCGACTACTCTGCGAAAACCAATGAGATATAAATATTATGGTGTTAAAAAAAAAACGTTTATCAACCGCCGTTGCCCCCATAGCGCCTTCAGTAATTGTTTTACCAACGCTCGTTTCTCATGTTCTGTCTCCCAAGTGCAGTCGGTTTGCCTCCGGTCAGCTGTCCGGCTGTAAGACCTTTAGGAATCGTTCAACATTATGCTGCCTTAATTGATTAGGAAGAAAGTGTTGTGCTATAGTATACTGATGTAAAATTTCACGACCATTTGCCGATTTATTTGTTTTTTAACTTTCGCAGAATTGTGCACAGCCTTTCATGTCGGTTTTGGAAAATGTATAAATCATTTATTCGGCCATTATACGTAGAAATAACCCGGGCCAAAACTTTTGGAATATATTAAAGTTACAATTCAACTTCAACCCGAAATCATTCCAAAACCTCATTTTTTCCCGACAACAAGTTTCGCCATACTTTACTTCCTTCTCAACTACACTCCGCTTCGCACACTACACATAATATATCCAGCTTGATGTGAAATTATTATCATATAAAAAACGGTTCTTTAAGTTGTCTGATTTCAAACAGTTATATTTTTACAGTTATTTTTAATAATAATAAACAAATTATTTTTAAAAATGTATACATTTTTTTTTTGTAAGCAAATTTTCAAATAACAGTTATTTTTACAAAAAAAAAAAAAATGATTCTGGAACCGATTTAGTTAAGTAGCACATCAATATCGACTTTAAATCGTATCTGGGTTGTTAAAGCCTGGAAACCAAAATACTCCAAACGCCTTCCCCATAAGAGAGCTTAATGTATTGAATATATTACATAGATATATTTTAATAAAATACTTTTTTTTGAGAATTTTGATTGTAATAATAGTAACAATATCTTTTTTAATAACTTTTATTTTTAAAGTTACATAGAACTTTTAAAATACAAATTTTGTATTAAATAAAAGTTTTTACCGACAATTGAATTTTTTTTAATAAAAGTCAAAAGCATAACTTTTACTTCTTTGAAATTTCCCGTTAAATTCAAGCTCAGTTTTAAACTTTATCAAATATAAACGTGTGCGATATTCATGTTAAACTGGTATTTTTTATATTATATTTTACATAAGTTGAAAGTCGTAACTAACGTCTAACAGTAATAGTAAAATTAATTTTATTGTTGTTTACTTTGAAAACATTTGCTTTAGAGCAAAACTCTAACATGGTAAATATTAAATTATCGTCGGTCACGTTGGTTATAAAAAATATCATAAAGCCATATTTAAAAATTCATGTTTAACATATTTCACTAGTTGAGTTATGAAATATTATAATGTTATAATATAGAATTTTTTTTTGAAAACTTACATACATAACCTGCGCGATTCAATTGATTTCACCATTATTATGATATTTTTATTTTACTA